TGTTTTCCAGCAGCACAGCTCCACATGAGACATCCTTTGGAGAGGAGGTGGAAGTGCATAACCTGCTCATCATTGACCAGCACACCTTCGAAGGTACCTGTCCCATCCCAAAATCCAGTTTTTCCCATCCTGGAGGAGCCCAGGGGAGCTTCAGCCAAAGCATTTTCTGGAGGAACATCAGCCATAAGGTTTAGGGATACCAAGATTTGATGGCACAGTGTGGTGGGCAATAGGACAGGGAATCTCTAGGATGTGTTTTAAGCTTTCAGTTTAAGGACTTTGGGATCCCAGTTGTTCTTCTCTTTCTCACTTTTTTATTTTCTTTCCCAGTGCTCCATGCTCACCAATTCCTGCAAAATGAGTACGCCCTCAGCCTGGTCTCCTGCAAGCTGGGAAAGGATCCCAACACCTACTTCATTGTGGGCACTGCCATGGTGTATCCCGAGGAAGCAGAGCCCAAGCAGGGCCGGATCGTCGTCTTCCACTACTCCGATGGTAAGAACAAGGTGTTCTCACCTGGAAAAATCCAGCTTTTTTGGTGGGAGATGAGGGATGAGCTTCTCAGACCCCAGAGAGCTTATGTCTGAGGAAAGAGAGTTTTTCCCAAGGAATCTGTTGTCAGGATCTGTAGGTGCTGTGTTCCCTTTCCCTGTCTCCTAGAGAAGCCAAAGAATCCCTCACCAGCTCTGGATTCTGGAACTTGCTTTCCATGTCACTTATCCTCCTCAGAGGCAGTTTTTTAGGAAGCAAAATTCAGGCCAGCTCAGCTGAACCCCCTTTGGATAAACAACCCAAGTAATGCCTGGCTTTATTCCAGGGAAGCTGCAGAGCTTGGCTGAGAAGGAGGTCAAGGGAGCTGTGTATTCCATGGTGGAATTCAATGGGAAGCTGTTAGCCAGCATCAACAGCACGGTAGGCAAGGCCCTGACTTTTTTTGGGAGTGTGTTTGTGGATCTGGATGTCAGCCAGGTGTCTGTTGAGGAGCTCCCATGTGGAGAATCCCAACCCATGTCCCATCCCACAGGTCCGCCTGTACGAGTGGACAGCGGAGAAGGAATTGCGCACGGAATGCAACCACTACAACAACATCATGGCCCTGTACCTGAAAACCAAGGGGGATTTCATCCTGGTGGGAGACCTCATGCGCTCCGTGCTGCTCCTGGCCTACAAACCCATGGAAGGGAATTTCGAGGAGGTAGGGAAACGGTGCCAGGAATCCATTCCGACAGCTCTGGGCACAGGGAATGGTGTTGGAGCGGATAAAAGGAGGAGTTTAGCTTGACTGGATAAAGTTTGACATGGATCCCTGTGGTTTATGGAGGGATAGATCCCTCAGTTTCCAGGGAACTGGCTGTGGGAAGAGCAGCTGGTGCCTGGTGGGTGGGAGGTACCATCTGGGATGCCTGCTGTCCACTTGGAATGAGGGTTTAAATTCCTGGAGTGACTTTGGCATAAGCTGCTCTACGCCTTCCCAGCATGTTATCCAAGTGCCACTTGGACTAGGACCATCTCAAGGAGTGCCTTTCCTGCTCAGCTGCTTCCTGGAGCAGAGAGGGATATGCTGGATCCTGCCTTGCTCCTGAATATTGGTGTTGAGTGGGATGAGGATGCAGGATCCCAGGCCAGGCCACCTGGACACAGCATGTCCCTTCTTACCCCTTCCAGATTGCCCGGGATTTCAATCCAAACTGGATGAGTGCTGTGGAGATCCTGGATGATGATAATTTCTTGGGAGCAGAGAACGCTTTCAATCTGTTTGTGTGCCAGAAGGACAGGTAAGCTGGGTGGGATGGATTGGAAATGGGATGGGATGGGATGGGATGATGGGATCTTTAGGAAAACTGCATGAGAATTCCCAGCTTTTGGGAGCAAGGGAAAGTTTTGGAGTGCCCCCATCAGGGATTGAGCAGTGTTTGGGATTGCAGCGCGGCCACGACGGATGAGGAGCGGCAGCACCTGCAGGAAGTGGGATTATCCCACCTGGGAGAATTCGTCAATGTCTTCTGCCACGGATCCCTGGTCATGCAGAACTTGGGAGAGACTTCCACACCCACCCAGGGGTCCGTGCTCTTTGGCACTGTCAATGGAATGATTGGTAAGGAGCAGAATCCTGGAATGGTTTGGGTTGGAAGGCTCATCCAGCTCCACCCTCTGCCACATTTCCATGTCCACTATTCCTGTGCAGGCCTGGTGACATCCCTGTCGGAAAGCTGGTACAACCTGCTCCTGGACATGCAGAACAGGCTCAACAAAGTCATCAAGAGCGTGGGGAAGATTGAACATTCCTTATATCCTTTGGCATTCCAGCCAGGAGCTTGTGCTGGGTGGGGGTACCAGCTGGAGAGGGTGAGAGTGGGTTTGCCATTGCCCTGAGAAATCATGGAATTAAAGATGGGAAAACTCTGAGACCATAGAGTCCAGCCATTAACCCAGCACTGCCATCCCACCATTAACCATGTCCAGGGCTGGTGTTATTCCCTGTGGATTTGGCTCCTTGACAGCAGCACCTGGAGATCGTTCCACACTGAACGGAAGACGGAACCGGCCACGGGATTCATCGATGGAGACCTGATCGAGAGTTTCCTGGACATCAGCAGGCCCAAGATGCAGGAAGTGGTGGCAAACCTGCAGGTGAGCTTGGGAATGTGGCCTTGGATCCTTCAAGGACTTTGCTCAAGAATCCAGGCTCAGTAAATCATGGAGTTGTGGAGTTCCAGAATGGTTTGGGTTCGAAGGGACTTAAAGACATCTCCCCACTAGACCAAGTTGCTCCAAACCTTGTCCAACTTGGCCTGGAACACTTCCAGAGATGGGGAAACCACAGCCTCTCTGGGAAATGCTAAATGCACACCTTCCTGAATGATCTGGGAATATTTTTGGCAACTGCCAGTGTCTCCAATGCCTTTTCCTCCCTGTGCAGATTGACGATGGAAGTGGGATGAAGAGGGAAGCCACCGTGGATGACCTCATTAAGATCGTTGAGGAGCTGACCCGGATCCATTAGCAGGATTTGGGATCGTTCCCTACCCCTACCCTCCACATGGAGCAAGGGAATCCTTCCCCAGCTGTGCCTAACACTGGCAGCACTGGCTGGAGGGGGAATCTCACAGGGGCAGCAGCTTGTTAGGAATTTGGGGGGGTGTTGGTCATCTCCTGCTGGGATTCATGGATTCTGCAGAATTGGCTGTGCCCAGAACTGTCCCTTTCCTTGGATGATCCACTGGGATCTGATGCCCTCACCTCGATTCCCTTTTCCCTGGTATCCTTAGATATTTTATTACATTTTTGGCTTTTGGTTTCGCTTTTGATCCTGGTTTTTTGTTGTTTGTTTTTGTTTTGGTTTTTTTTTTTTTTGATTCCTTGTGGTTTTTTGGAAGAGGAATCAAAGCTGAGGAGCAGTGGAGGCTGGAGCTGAGCAGGATAACTCTCCATAGGATCCATGCCTTGCTCAGGGAGGGAAGTTCTGGGGAGTTCAAGCTGTTGCTGATTTCGGAGTTTTACCAAATAAAGTAGTCCAAGAGGAAAGATGTGTGTACTGAGGAATGATGATATCCATGTCCTCGGCTCTGGGATCTTGGGGACACCTGTTTTCCAGGTGCATTTTTCTGGGATTTGTAGGAAATTTTAGTTCCTTGCCTGGTTGCCAGTGGCACTGAGAGTGCCTGGAGAGCAGATGGGAATGGAAATTTTTGCAAAAGCTGGATTTTCCAACCTCTGGCTACTCATTAATAGTTCTCGTGGTCTCTCACCTCCTTCACATCTCTCATGGGATTTGGGGGTTATCCTGGATCTTTCTATGCTCTCCCAGGTGGGATCTCCCCTGTAAGCCCTGGTTAAGTGCCTCCCAAGTCCCATTCCATGTGGGTTTTTCCCAAATCCTTCCCTCCCAGAGACAGCTCGTGCTGGAAGCATCCCTGGCTCCCACTTCCATCCCGTATTTTCAGAGGAGGCTGCAGGGACAAGGCTATATTTGGACATCTCTTCCGAGAGCTGGGGGAGCAGGGAGTGACCTTGGACTCTGCTGCTGCTTTTATTACCTCGGGCTCTGTTTACCTGCCTGGAGCCTCCTGTTCCCAAATTTTGGGAGGCCCGGGAGCAGCACAGCCCAGATCCTGGAAGCATTCTCCTTTTCCCACCAAAACTGGGGGTACTGGTGCCACTGCAATGTTGGCACCCTGCTTTTCTTGGGATAAAAAATCTGGATCATTGTTTATTCACTGCCGCTGGTCATGGAGCTGCCTCCCACGGATTTGGGATCACATTCCCTTAGGACAGGAGCTTCCCATGGCTGCAGTGGGTTCCTAAAAGACCAGTATGACCCCCCATCATGATTTTCATTTAGAAGGGGGCTGTTTCTTGCCTTGGTGATCCCAACTCTTGGGCAGGATTTTCTGGGGAGAAATCCATGCTGGAATGGGAATTTTGGAGGCAGCAGCACCCTTTGCTCCGTGGGATCAATCATTTACCTGCCTCCGACCTTCGCTTCATTCCCTGCCCTGGGATGGGGCCACAGGGCTGGGGGGAATCTGGGGGTCACCAGAGCGGGGTGTCCTGCAGCATCCCTCTCCCTCCTGGATGCATCCCACCATCCCGGCTCCACTTGGCCCCTTTCTCCGCCGCGTGGGTCCCCGTGCAGGGCTGGGAAGGCGGCCCAGCGCCTCCAGGAGAAGGAGGAGGAGGAGGAGGGGTGGGGAGAGGCCATGCCGGAGCTTTGCCAGATGTGGGAAAGGAGAGAAGGGGGGACGCCTTTCCCGCTGCTTCCCATACCGAGGGGGGACCCCGTTTCCCGGCCCGCAGCCAGGGCAGGAATGGCCGGGATGCCACCACCCGCCCCAGTTAAATGGGACAACCTTGGGGTGACCCCAGACCCCCAGTGTGGGTTTAGGGGGGGTGGGTGGGTGCCGCCGGCGACCCCCCCGCTCTCGCCCCCCTCCAATCCCGCATTGTTCCCGGCTCGGCGGGAGGAGGAGGAGCAGGGCCAAGGGCCAGCGGGAAGGCAGGCGGGAAGGCGGGCGCCGGGACGTGCTGGAGCCGCCTGTCATGTTGGTGGAGCTGCTCTTCCAGGCTGCCTGTGTGTCCCTGTTCCTCTCCAGCGGCCAGGGCAGGGTGTATCCCGCGAGGAAGAAGCCGGGCAGCTTTGCCGTGGAGAGGTAGCTGGATCCCCCCCTTTTCCTTCTCCCTCTTCCAGCTACACCTGGGATGGGCAGCGTGCTGAGCTCCGGCTATCCCTGCCTCCAGCTGCAGGAGGGCTTGGCCGGAGGGCTCCCAGCAGGAGGGGCTGGCACCCCGCAATTCCCTCCCTCTTCCCAAGTCCAGGGGAGCATGACGCTGCTCCCCGCATCCCTGTCCTTGTCCCCACATTCCCGTCTTGCTCCCCGTATCCCTGTCCAGCCGGGGGAGACGCTTCTCTTGTCACCACGTGCTGGGATGCTCGGGATGTCTGGGAAGTGGTTGTCCCCTCTCTGTCCCACCTTATCCTACCTTCCTCTGATCCATGCTGCGCTCTGCTTCCCGGTACATGGGCACATCATGACCGCTCCGGTTGTCCTCCTGTCCTCGCATTCCTGGGACCTTTGCTCCATGCAGGGGGCTCAGGACAGGGTGGCCTCAGGCTCTGGTGTCCCACAGGCGCCGCGTGGGGCCCCACGTCTGCTTCCCAGGCTCCGGCAGCGGATGTTGTCCCGGCTGGATGCTGTCCCCGGGCAGCGGAAAGTGCACCCTGCGTGAGTACGGGGGTCTGGGGGCTCGTGGGGGTCCTGTTCCCATTCCCAGAGCTCCTGTTCCCATTCCCACAGCACTCTGCTCCTTCGGCTGCGGTGGCGGTTCCTGCATTGCTCCCAACCTTTGCATCTGCCCGGATGGAGAGCAGGGAATCACCTGCCCAGGTACTGAGAAAAGTGGTTATGCCAGATGCCCTTCCCTCTCCACGCCATGAATCCCAAGGGATGGAGATGGCCACGAACCCTTGGGCACCATGCCCAACCCTCTTCCCTCTCCATGCCACAAGTCCCAGCAGATGGAGGTGACCGTGGCTCCTTGTCACCTCTCCCCAGCACTGTCCCCATCCCTGGGGGATCCATGGAGCAGGATGGGAAGCAGGTGGTCCTGGGGGGGCATGGGTACCCTGAGGACGCTGTGTCCATGTTCCAGAACCGCTGGGAACTTGTGGAGAATATGGCTGTGACCTGTCCTGTAACCACGGCGGCTGCCAGGAGGTCGCCCGTGTGTGTCCCGTTGGATTCTCCATGGCCGAGACGGCCAACGGCATCCGCTGCACCGGTGAGTGGGAGTGGTATATCCCAATGGGAGTGGGCATCCCGGTGGTGTCCACACTCCAAACCTGACCCTTCCCTGTGTTCCCCTAGACATCGATGAGTGCCAGAGCGCAGCCTGCGAAGGGACGTGCGTGAACACAGAGGGCGGATTCGCCTGCGAGTGCGGAGCCGGCCGGGAGCTCTCTGCCGACCGCCGCAGCTGCCGGGGTGCGCGGGGTCCCAGGGGGGTGGCCGGGTCTCCCAAGGGATCCTGATCCTCATCCCAACCCCCAGACATGGATGAATGCCAGGCCACACCGTGCCAGCACCGCTGCGAGAACAGCGTGGGCAGCTACCGCTGCTCCTGCCGGCCCGGATACCACCTCCACGGGAACCGGCATTCCTGCATAGGTGAGCACCAGGATGGGGTTCTTTCCCATCAGTCCTGAGGGATGGAGGTGTCAGACCCCCTTCACTCTCCATGCCATAAATCCCAAAGGGATGCAGATGGCTGTGAGCCTGTGGGCACAAGCCAAACCCCCTTCCCTCATCATGCCACAAATCCCAAGGGATGGAGATGTCCATCAGTCCCTGCATGAGCCATGCTGAGGGCCCATCCCGGTGCTCCAGGCTCTTTCCTGGGCCACATCCCGGGGTGCAGCACCTCCTGCCACATTCCCTTATCCCACAGATGTGGATGAGTGCCGGCGGTCTGGCACACGCCGCTCCTGCCAGCACAGCTGCCACAACATTCCCGGCAGCTTCCGCTGCTCTTGCCGCCCCGGATACCGGCTCAGCGCAGACAGGGTGTCCTGTGAAGGTATCCATGTCCTTCTCCCGGCTGGGGGAGCAGAGTGGGATGCTCCCATCTGCCGGCCTGCCCCAAGTGATGTCTCTGCCTTCCTGATTTCCTTCCTAGGGTACCCCAAATCTATCCTGGCCCCGTCACCCATCCTGCAATCCCTGCAGCATCCACCCACCCTTGTCCTGCTCCCTCCCAGCTCCCACCTGCTCCCGAGGGGCTCACCCTCTCCCCACCTCCCCGTGGCAGCTCCCGGTACCCAGTTCCCTCCCTCTTCTCCATCCCTGTCCCCTGAACCATCCCCACGTGCCATGGGAGCCCCTGGCACCTCCACCCCACCATCCCATCGTTGTTGGCACCGAGGAATCCCTCGGGAGCCCGGCGCTCACTGGACAGAGCCGGGATGCCAGAGCTGCACCTGCCAGGTGAGCATCCCGTCCTCCCACCCCATCCCATGGCACCATCCCGACCCGGGATGAGACACCATGTGTCCTGGCAGGGGGGACAAATCCTCTGTGACACCGTGAGCTGCTCCGTTCCCTGCTCCCACCCGCTTCCCGCTCCGGCTGGGGGTTGCTGCCCCACCTGCACGGGTGAGTCCCACCCACCCTTGATTCCCCCAATTCCCAGGATGGCCCCCCTTGAATTCCCAGGGGGATGCCACTGACCCCCATGGCTCACAGGGTGCCTGCACGAGGGGGTGGCCAGGGATGATGGCGATGTCTTCTCCCTATCCGATGGGAATTGCACCGTCTGTGTCTGCTTGGTGAGCTGGATCGGGATGGAAGAATCCCTCCCTCATCCCTGGGAACCTCCCAGCCCTGGAGATCTTTATCTCCAGGGACCCTCATCCTGCATCCTGGCTCAGCCGTGGACTGGGATGCTCTGGAGCGGATTACACCCTCCCATCATCCCTCCATGGGGAATCGGGGTCCTCTTTCCTAGCCCCATGCTCCCCTCTACAGGCTGGGAATGTCTCCTGCCTCTCCCCGGAATGCCCCCCAGGATCCTGCCCCAGCCCCTCTCTGGCTGACTGCTGCTCCTGCAATCCAGGTGATCCCAGGACCCCTAGTCTGGGGGTGTGAGGACCCCCACGCTGGGCTGGGGATTAGGGAGGAGCTGTGCTTGGCTCTCCAGCTTGCTGCTTCCCCTTTTCCCAGAAAAGTGCAATTTCCGGGGACGCACGTACGTGCATGGAGCCCGGTTCAGCCTGGATGGGGACGACTGCACCACCTGTGTCTGCCTGGTGGGTCCTGGATGTCCCCAGGGATGAGGATCCCCAGGGATACTCCAGTGCTTCCCTGCACCTGCTAGGGGCATCTCAGCTTTGCTCGGGGCTGATGGTAGGGATAGCAGGTGACCCATTCCCGTGTTCCCAGGGAGGAGAGGTGGAATGTTCCTTCACTCCCTGCCCCATGCTGGATTGTCCCCAGCACCAGCGGCATCTGCGTCCCGGGCAGTGCTGCTCCACCTGCCGGGACCCTCCGGCCCCCGCCGGTGAGTCGGGATGAGGGACTGGGAATGGGCAGGGAGAGGGAAGAGGAGGAAAAGCTGAGGGAAAAGGGAATGGCATGGCATGAGAACTGCTGAGATAGAGGATGTGGGGGACACTTGGGAATGGGGAGAGTGGGATGTTGGGATATTTGAGGATGGGATATAGGGAAGGGCAGGGTGGGATGAGGGGGTACAGCTGGAGACAGGGAGGGGGTGGGATGTGAAGGACACAGGTGGGATGTGGGGATGATGGGACAGGTGAGAAATGGGGAATACCTAGGAACAGGGAGAGTGGGATATATGGAAGTCTGGGACAGGAAGGGTAGGTTTTACGGGACAGCTGGGAACAGGGATCCCACCCAGGTTGCTTCCTGGATGACAACGGCGTGGAGTTTCCCGTTGGACAGATCTGGTCTCCGGGCGATCCCTGTGAGTTATGCATCTGCCAGGTGAATGAGAACCTGCTCTGCTTCATTCCCTCTTCCCTATTCCTGCCCTAGCGCACGGCTCCTGCCCCATTCCCACCCTCAGGATGCCGGTGGCCTGGCAGACCCCAAATCCCCCAAATCCGGCGGGTTTGGGAATGCCGAGGTGTCTGTCAGGGTGTTCCCGCCTGCAGGCAGACGGCTCCGTGAGCTGCCAGCGCACGGATTGTGTGGAGACGTGTCCTTATCCCATCCGCATTCCCGGACAGTGCTGCCCCGACTGCTCCGCAGGTGAGGGCGCGCCCGGAATTCCGGGATTCTGAGCCGCCCGGGGACCGCCTGAGCCCCTCTCCCCGCAGGCTGCACCTACATGGGGAGGATCTTTTCCAACAACGAGACCTTCCCGTCGGCGCTGGATCCCTGCCTGAGCTGCATCTGCCTGGTGAGGGCTGGGCCGGGCATTCCCAGAGGATTTGCGGCTCCCGCCCCGTGGGCTGAAGCCCGGTTTTTGGCTCCGTTGCAGGGAAAAGCTCCGGGGGCGCTCCGGGGTTCCTAACGCCCGGCCCTCGGGGGTCTCTCCCGTCTCTCGCAGCTGGGCTCGGTGGCCTGCTCGCCTCTGGAATGTGCCATCGTGTGCTCCTACCCCTTCCACCCCGAGGGTCGGTGCTGCCCCGTCTGTGAGGGTACGAGCTCGGGTGGGTCCCCAAAATCCCCCTGAACCCCCCAAATTCCCCCCAAAACCCCCTCTGGACCTCGGTCCCCGCAGACTGCAACTACCAGGGCAGGAAGGTGGAGAATGGCCAGAGCTTCATTCCCGAGGGACAGCCTTGTACCCGCTGCACATGCCAGGTGAGACCTCCCACCCATTCCCATGGGATTCCCGTGTCCATGGAGTGCCTGTGCCAGTGCTAACTGGATCCCAGGAAGGGCTGGCAGGGCTGGCTGATCCCTGTTTTTCCAGCTTGGAGAGGTGAGCTGTGAGGAGAGGCCATGCCCTCACTCCTGCTCTGAGCCCCTCACGCTGCCCGTGGGCTGCTGCCCATCCTGTCCAGGTAATTGGGATCCCTGGATCCATCCCCGGGCATTTGGATGTGCCCCCTCTGGACTGGGAAAGAGGTGGTACTGACCAAAATCCTCCCTCTGTCAGCCACAGACATCCGACTCCCGCTGCAGGACAGAGACCTGTCCCCATCCTCATCCCAGTCCCCATCCTCACCCCCATTCTCATCCCAGTCCCCAATCCCTGAAGATTCACCCCCTGGCACTCCTCAACAACACCGCAACCGCCTGGCCCAGCTCCTACTTCCCACCACACTCCCCCTCGGCCTCTCTCCAGGGATTTGGGGTGCTGGGAAGCCCCCTCCAACCACTCCAAGTCCCTCTGGATATCCCTTGGCACCCACTGTGCCCCCTGACCCCCTCTGTGAGGCCGCAGCCTCCCCTGATCCCACGGGCAGCCCTGAGGCTCAGGGATCCCCCGGGAATGAGGATCCTTCTGTGGTGCCATCAGACAGCCTCAGGTTCCAGGTGCCAGGTGTGCCTGGAATGCCATGAGGAGGAGAACGAGGATGAAGGAAAGGAGCAAAAGGGGGTCTGCAGGACCAGCAGGCCTGGCCCTGGGGAGGGGGCAGCTGTCCCCCTGCCACCAATAAAGTCACTCTTGTATTTATTCCCTGTCCCCTCATCCCTGCATCCACCAGCACGTGGAGCCCTGGGGCTTGTCCTTGGCGAATTTTGGGATGAGTGGCTTTCCAGGATGATGAGGGCAGTGCTGGAGGTGTTCAGCCCCCTCACCCTGAGTGGGGTGTGGGGACAGGAGGGACATGTCCTGCCCCAGGTCTCCAAGGCTGGGAGCTTCTCAGGGATGAGCAGAGCCACATCCAGGCTCCCATCCTCGGGGCACAGAGACATCCTTGGCAGGTGCAGCTGAGGCTGGTGCCATGGAAATGCCATTCCCAGGGATGTGGTGGCTTTTCCCAGAGAAACACAGAAGGCACAGGGGGGCTTCTCCACACCTTTATTGTCCTCGGTGGTGGCAGGAGTGCCAGGAAAGGGACAAGCCCTGCCAGCCACCGAGTTGGGAACACCTGTGATTCCCATCCAAGCTCAGGGCAGCTGGGACAGCCCCACCATGTTGTTGGCCCTGTCGAAGATGACGTAATATTCCCGGATAAAGACATCCCCCAGGATCCAGAGCTCGCCCTCCTCCGTGGGCACATCCATGCCTTGCAATCCCAGAGTGCAGTACCCATTACTCTGCTCCAAGGACATAGAAGGAGTGGTCACCAGGTGTCGGATCTCTCCCTGTATCCCTACAAACCCCTTCCCAGCGGGATGCTCACCCTTATCACGTAGGCTCTGGGAGGCACTGGGAATTCTTTGCCGTGGATGTGGAAGATGAGGTTGGGAAGGTTGTTGACACCCGCACAGCTGATCTGGGGAGGACACAGCAGGTTAGCAGCTATTCCAGCTGGGATCAAATGTCCTAGGGAGCATCCTGAGGCCTCACCTCGCCACTGGAGCTGGCACCGAGGAGGTTCGAGAGGATCCGGAAGGCCCGGATAGGAACAGCCAACAGAGTGGTTCCTGTATCCACGATGGCCTGGCATCCCGAGGCACAGGCCACCGGAGCCCCATTGATGGAGACTCTAGGAAAAGGGATGCAGAGTGAGCCTGGATTCCCCATAACACCAGCTGAAGGGCAGGGAATACTGGGAATACCTCTCCATGCTGATCTGCCAGTAGGTTTCGGCAGAGAGCGGGATCCAGGTGATGCCTCTGGTGGTGTAGTAGGGATCAATGGCACCGAAGAGGACAAAGCTCCCACCTTGGCTGTCCCTGGAAAGGGAGATTCATCCAGGATGGTTCCCAGCCCACCAACACCCCCATTCCCACTGGAAAAAGGGGCCAGTGTGAGGGATAAAGGAGAAATCCTCAGCAGCTTTGGCTGGGATTTACCTGCTCAGGTAGACAGAGAAAAGATGCCTATCCACGAGGTTTTCTATCATCATGTTGTCAAAGACAGGGGTGGCTCCGGAGGAGGCAATGCTTGGGAATGCCAATCCCAGGATGCCGTCAAAGGGGGTGTAGTAGAAGAAATCGCCTGGCTCCGTCTCAGCCAGCCCAAAAATCTGGTTTCGGACATTGATGCCAGCAACCTGGGAGAAAGGAGACAGGTGCGGGTTGGGCACAGTCCCATGGGATCCCATGGGATGAGGGGGCTGGAGCGCCTGGCCGTACGTTGACGGTGTCGTATCCCAGGACTCCGGTCATGCTTCCCGTGCCGTAGGCGATGAACAGGGTGTCATTGGTGCTGAGGAACGTGGAGGATTCCGCAGGATTGAAGCGGTTGTGATTGCCTGTGGGTGTGGGAAGGACGAGGATTGCCTGGGATTTGTCCATTGGGAAAGACTGGGCAGAGCCATGCAGGACTCCCAAAGGACACATTCCAGCCTCATTCCAGACACCTACTGCAGGCTGGGCTGGAGCAGAAGACTGAGGGAACCCAGAGGTTGGATGAGCCGGTGTCGAAGACCACAGTGAATTCCTGGGGTGGGGTGCCAATGGAGATGGTGCCAAAGTACTCATCCTGTTGGAATGGGATTGGGAAGGGGTTAATGGGATGGGGAAAGAAGAATGGATAAGGGGCTAATGGGATGAGTTAAAGAGATGGGAAAGGGACTAGTGGGATGGATAACAGGCCAGTGGGATGGGGAAGGAGCCGGTGCCACGCTGCGCTCCCTGATCCCAGTTCCCAATCCCAGCCTCTCACATCCATGTAGTTCTCCAGGGGCTCCACGGCGATGCCCGGGAAGTACTTGGCAGCCAGGTTGTAGGGATGCTGCTTCAGGTAACTCTCCAGCAACCCCTGCTCCTGCAGCCTCTGCCGCAGCGACTTCATCTTCCTCAGCGGCACCCTGTGGGCATGGACCAGGATACATCACCGGGATGGGCCACCAGGATCACCCCGCATCCCACATCCCTATTTTGGAACCCCTTGGGGCTCACCTGGTCTGGAGGCCCTGGGCCAGGCCCACCAGGGTGAGGAGCAGGAGCAGCTTCATGGTGGGAGCTCACGGAAAATGTGCCTCCGATCCCGGCCCTGCTCCTTATATCCTGGCTCCGGTGTTTGGCCGGAGGCCCCGATAAGAAAGGCAAACTGCTCCTGGGATGGTTATCAAAACGTCCTTAAGGAAGGCGGGGGGAATGTCAAGCTGGGGGATCCCCCTATTCCTGGGGAGATTCAGGCCACAGGTATGTGGGATGGGCGGGAAGCACTCCAGTTATTCTGTGGGAGCTGGTGGGAATGCAGGGTTGCTTGTCCCCTGAACCCTCGAATTCCTTGCTGGAGGGTTTGAACCAGACACTTCCAGGAATGGGGTGGCCACAGCTTCCCCGGGAATTCCATTCCCAGGAATGCCTCACCACCCTCGCAAAGAATTTCTTCCCAATATCCCATCTAACCCTGTCCTCTCCTAATAGGAAGCCGTTTACTCTTGTTCTGTCACTCCAGGTCCTTTTCCAAAGTCCCTCTCCAACTTTCCTGGAGCTCCTTAAAGCACTGGAAGAAGCTCCAAGGTCTCTCCAGATCCTTCTCCTTCTCCCCTTGCCAAGGCTTCATGGAGGATTTTCAGGCTGCCAGGTCCAGATTTTCCATTCTGGGAATCAGCCAGGACTTTCTCCTTTACAGCCTCCCACAACACATCCCATGCTCCTTTTTTTTTTTTCTCAAGGATAATCCGGTGCTCCATCCCTTTTCTCCCAACATCCCCCATCCAAGTTCTTCTTCATTTCCCTCCCCCAGTGCAACCTAGCACTGTATCCTCAGATTCTTCTAAGTTTCCGAGCTGGGATGGGGCTGATTCCAAGGGAGGAATGCCAGCTCCAGCATTAGGGAGCCTTTGATCTCCTCCAGGACAAGGTGACCGTTCCAGAACCCATGGATTCAGCACGTGGTGCCGTGACCAAAGCCAAGGTGCCCAGTCCAACTCTGGTGACCTTCACCCAGAAGCATCCAGAGCTTGGCTTTCCCCCAGCTCGTCCCAGTTTTCCAGTTCAGGGACTTCAGACGTGGGAATGGAGTGACAGGACAAGGGGAATGCCTCCAAACTGGAAAATGGGATATTGGGAAGAAACTCTTACCTGTGAGGCTGGTGAGGCCCTGGAATGGATTTTCCAGAGAATCTGTGGCTGCCCCATCCCTGGAAGTGTCTAAAGCCAGGTTGGAGAAACCAACCTGGAATGTGTCCCTGTAGTTTTTGGAGTTACCAAGTTTTCCTCCTTTTTTGGCCAAAATAGTAGAGAAAACAAAAATATGAAGTTTTCCCAGAGCTATTCATACATTTAATTCCCAGAACTGCCATCCCTGGGGATCAGGATTCCTGTTTTTCCAATGGGGAAAAAAAAAAAAAAACCAACATTTGCCCAATTATGGGAAGTTTTAGAACAAGCTTATTGTGCTGCTGGTAAATCCCATCAAAGTAGAACAATGGATCCAACAGGGATAGATTTTGGATGGATGATATCCACAGAAGGAAGAAGCTCTGAAATTCAGGACTGCGAAACAAAATGGGAATTGCTATTTAGCACTAATTAAATCCAGAAGAAAATCTGGGAGGATGGAAAAATAACCCCTTTTAGGGCGTGAAATGGGCTTCCTCAGAGAGAAATCCTGGATTTTCCTAACATTGGTTGGGGAAATGGAGGCCATGAGATGCTGGATCCCGGAATAATTCATCCTGGTGCTAGGAGCTCACTGGATGGGAGCAGGTGGCCTCCCTGCCACAGCTTTCCTTGGCACCAGAGGGCACCACAGCATGGGGAGATCCCAAAAACCCCCAGGTGGAAAGATGGGTCTGGAAGCTTTTCCTCCTGGTTGATGCAGCCGGGGCTGGGTGAGGATTCCCAGGCAATAAAACCCTCCCAAAATTTAAGCTTTTACTGGGAAAATTCAGATTTTTCATGTCATTTTGATGTGGAAACTCCCCTCGGGATGAATTTAACGTCCGTGGGAATCATCCTCTGGATCGAACAGGGATTTTTCAGGCTTTTGGGACATCAAAACTTGTTCTGACAAAACTTCCTTAATTTTATCTCTGCAACCTCCCCAGAAAAAATCCCCTTATGGAGACAGAGTTTTTCTTGGAAATTGATTAATGAAGTCAGCTTTTCCAGGCCCTGTTCCCAGTTTTTCTTGTCCCTTCCCTAAAGGCTTTTATCACCCGGGTGCTTTATCACAGCTGTCAGATGAAAGGAGGGAAATCTGACGGTCCCGAGGTGTCAGATTTCCGGGATTGGATTAAAAATATTTAATTAACTTATCAAGGAAGCCCAGGGATGTTGGCTGATCCTTGTGGGAATGGAATTCTGCAGAATGGGACCTCAGGGTGCTCAGGTCAACCTTTCCTACCTGCTGTGGGTGATTTTGGCTGGGATTAAGATGCCATCCAAGGGAAAAAAACATGTGGAACCATCTTTTGTGGAAATTAAGGATATTAATAAGTAGCTAATGGGACTATCCTTCCAAAACCACCTGTTTATTCCAAATTTATTTCTGGATAACATTTTTAAATGGGTATTTTCCCATTTCTTCTGTGCAAACCCAAACACAATTTTCCCTCTTCTCAAACCTTATGTTTTAATATAAAATGTTAATTACACATTTTCCAGCTTTTCCAGGTCTATGGAAACTGCTCCAAAAGAAGCCTGGGAAAATATTTTTTTTCCCCTTTGGAAAGTCAAGACCCTTTTCTTTCCCATGGCACTGGGGGTTTGACCCGGTTATCAGCCGCGCTGGGAGCAAATTGTCCTTGATTTATCCGGAATTATTTGGGATCATATGACTCCCATTTGTTACACAACAGCTCTCAGGTGACGGGATCAGAGGTGCCTTTCCCAGATCCCAACACTTCTGGAACAGCTGGGTGACCTTGCCCAGACTTCCAAAGTCTCCCGAAGGAGCAGAAATCATGGAGCTCTTCCCCTGCCTCATCCTTGCTTGGGTTTTGGGAATGTGGAGTTGCAGGTGGAAAAGAGGAGCATTTTCCCAGCGTACTTTGGAAAAGTTGGATTTGTGAAGTGGGTAATGGGTCGGGAGCTTTCTCAGGAATATTCCTATGTCATGCGAGGAGGAGTTAACCAGAGGAATTTGCTTTGATCTCTTGGATCCAGCTGGAAGAACCTGATATTTTATGGATTTTTGGGATATTACTGAGGTCTCTATGTGCTTCCTAAACCACTTCCAACCTGGCCTTGGACACTTCCAGGTATGGAGCAACTGCAGATTCTCTGGGCATGTCGCTTTGCCACCCTCACAAGGAAGGATATATTCCTAATATCCAACTTAAACCCGTCCTGTGTCCACGCGGAGCCTTTCCCCCTTTCCCTATCGTTCCATGCCCTTCTCCAAAACCCCTCTCCAGCTCTCTCGGAGCCCCTTGCACCCCGAAAACACGAAGGATATAATTCCTAGAGAAGCTACAGCTCGGGGAGAGCCCCGCGGTTAGCCAAAGACCGACCATTGATTTAAAAATGCCATTAAATTGATCTGTCCACCCGCCCCCCCCAACATGGCGGCGCTGGGAGGAACCACCCCCCTCACGCCAACGGGGGGGATGCGCACGCCTCCCATTCCGTCCGCTGTGGCCCCGCCCACTTCCGGTTTGCACCGGAAGCCGGAAGCTGCGGCGAGCGGAGGGTCCTGGTGGCCCCTTGGTGAGTCCGGGAGAGGGCCGGGAACGGGAGTAACGGGAGTAACGGGAGTAACGGCAGTAGCGGCGGAATAACGGGGATAATGGCGCTGCTTCCGCTGCGGTACTCGCTGCAGCCCCTCAGGTGGGCAGCCCTTTGCATTCACCTTCCTGAGCGCCTATGGATGCTTCTCAGAGCCCATCCCGAGCTTTCCCACTCCCATCATTCCCGCTTTTCCCTCTTAAAATCCATGAAACTTAGCTAATACCTCCCTAAATAACTCAGATCAGGTGATTTCTGCCCCGCACCTGCAGCGCGGGACTTAATTCCCAGTTTTTCCCTCGGACAGGTTTATCTGGATCGTGGATTGGGCAACCCTGAGCATAAGCGTGGCTCTTGCAGCATTCCCGGCGTGATATCCTTGGGATGTTCCACCTGGATGAGAGGTAGAAGAGCTGGGAACGAATAGGACAGCCCAGGTGTGTTGTATTTCCTTGGTTTTTAGGACATTCCCACATTGTCCCATCCCACCTCTTTAGGACATTCCCACATTGTCCCATCCCACCTCTTGGAATTTACACCAGACACGGGATACTTGCTAAACTTATCAGACAGCAGGGAATACTTGGGATAAATCATGGATATGGTGCAGGAAGTCCATAATTTCCCTGATCTTTTTGTTATTTCACTGAATTTCATGGCAGGAAGGTGGAATTAGATGATCCCTGAGGTCCTTCCCAACCCTGTGGACATGATGGGATATGGCCAGATCCCGGTTTCCTTGGTAGAATGGGAACCTGGGATCGGATAGAGTCTGGAATGAGGTGGATTTTGAAATGGGACGGAGACGTCCAGCTGGAATTTGCAAGTCAGGGCTGTGGGTGCATTTTTCCTAGACAAAACACTCTGGGACACACAGAATTCCATCCCATCCAAATAGGCTTGGGAAAGGGGGAAAAAGTCTGTTCCCAATCAGGAGTTAGTGGGAATGTTGTTTCTCCCTCTCAGTTAACGGAACCCAGCGCAGCTGCTCCAAGGACTTTAACAAGCCTGAATTTCAGTTGGAAACCTACTCCCAGCTGGATTTGGGAATTGCTTTGCCTCTTTTTTCGTGTCCCAGGAATCTGGGAGGATGGATACACTGAGGAACCGGACAGTGGAGGAGCTCCGGGAGCTGCAGGAGGATTCCCAGGAGATTGAGCGCTTGGCTTTGGAATCCCAGGAGGTTTGTGGCAGGAAGTGGCTCCGGGGTGTCCTTGTCCCCTTCCCATGCTCATCATCCTGAATTCCACAGGTTCAGGAGCTCCAGCTGGAAAGGGAGATGGCCCTGGCTGCCAACAGGAGCTTGGCCGAGCAGAACCTGAAATTCCAGGTGCCGCTGGAGACGGGGCGCAGCGACCTCTCCAAGAAATACCAGGAGCTGCAGGAGCTGGCTGGGAGGTGCAGGGAGCAGAAGGAAAAGCTGGGTGAGCACTGGCATCTTCTCCCTGGAAGGATTCTGCTTCCTGGAAAACTGTTATCTCTCTTTTTTCCATCAGCCAGAGAGATTGAGGATGTTATTCCTCTTAGATTTCCCTCCTCCCATCAGCAGTTCCCAAGCCTGTTCCTGTGGGCTCTTTGCTGGTTTTTCCATGGTTTCTGTTCTGTGATAGTGATCTTGCTTTTTCTTTCCCCCCTTGGTTTTCCCAGAGAAATTCTCGGCAGCGCTGCAGCCTCAGACTTTGCTGGATCTCCTCCAGGTGGAAAGCCAGAAGATTGAAGAGGAATCTGAGGTGAGTTTAGAGCTTAAATCCAATGGGAAGTCCAGTGCTTCACCCTCAAAGACTTGCAATTAAGCCCATCCCTAAAATCATGCATTATCTTTGGAGCTTGCTGGGTTTTCTCCAAAGAAGTGGATCCATCCTTGTTTGTATGTGGGTGCTGCTCCTTGGGATGTGACTGGGAGAGACATAAATCAGGCTTAGGGAAGAGGAGCAGAGGGATGCAGGGATGAGCCTGAGGCTGTTCCTCTCTTCCAGAAAATGGCTGAGAAATTCCTGGAGGGCGAAGTGCCCCTGGAGACGTTCCTGGAGCAGTTTTTTGGGATGAGGAAGTTGTCCCACCTGCGCCGAGTGCGAGTGGAAAAGCTGCAGGAGATCGTGAGGAAGTCAGAGGGATCCCAGGAGCGCACCAGGGACTCTCAGCCTTCAGTTCCTCCTCCTCCTCACGTTCCCACAGATCCACCAAAACCATTCCCATCGGGATCTCAGGCCTTCCCTCTGCCCTACAGCCCAGCTCCGACCCTTCCACCCGGCCCCAGTGCCCACGGAGCGCTGCCTCCTGCTCCTTTCCCGGGATCTCCAGCCACTGTGGGACACGTGGCTTCCTCCCAGCCCAGCTCCCAGTCCACCTTTCCCTACCCACTTCCTGCAGCTCCTGGTTATCCAGCAGCTTCCGCAGCTGACTCTGCGCCGGGGTATCCCAAATCCACCTCGGGAGGCTTTTCCTGGTCTCCATCCCGGGGCCCACCACAGCCCTTGCCCTATCCTGCTCCCCATCCCTCTCCTCCCCCTGCCAGACCAGGATACTCTCCCTACATCCCACCTGGAGCAGGGAGGCCACAGTGTCCATACCCCACTCAGCCCCCTCTCCCGAATTTCCCAATCCCAACGCAGGCTCCCTATCCCGGGCCTCCCCCACCCTTTGGATACCCACCACCACCTCCGAACCCTCAGCGTCCTACCTGGCCTGGATACTAATCCAGGACTTCTGAGGAGCATCCTGTGCTGATTCCTCCTTTTTCTGGGGACTGAGGAAGAGGAGGGATCCCAGAGTGTTGCTCCTGGATCCGTTGGTGCAAAGGAATTAGACGGGATAAGATTCGGGCTCCAGAGGTCGGAGCGAGAGGCAGAGCCAGACCGGCAGAAATCTAGAGAGGAGAAACCTCCAGGGAAACCTTGGAGCACCTTCCAGTGCCTAGAGGGGCACCAAAAGAACTGGACAAGGACTTGGAGTGATGGGATAATGGGGAATGGCTTCACACTGTTAAAGGATGTGTTTAGATGAGATTTTGGGAAGAAATTCTTCCCTGTGATGGTGATGACACCCTGGAATGGATTTCCCAGGGAAGTCATGGCTGCTCCATCCCTGAGGCCAGGTTGGACAGGGATTGGAGCAACCTGGGCTAGTGGAAAGGGATTGGAAGTGTCTGATCCCTAAGGTCTCTTTCCACCCAAACCATTCCAGGGCTGTCAGTGGGAATGGTGATTCCCACCCAGGCCTGGGCAACCTCCAATATTCCCGACCTCCCGTGTGGATTTTCGAGCTCCTCACATCCCCCTTCTCAGGAAACACTTGGAAGTGGAGGGAATGACAAACAATGGAAATGGGATTTGCTTTGCTCAGCACTTTATCCTTCAAATCCTGCCTGTATCCCTTTAAGTTATTTATAAGGAACGATTACTAATGGACTAGGAAGAGGGATTGATGGAAGCAGTTCCATCCCTGGGATTAATTAGAGTAATAAAAACTGGATGAATTAATTGCACTCTGGAGTCATGGCCATGGTTACTTTGGGAAACAGCGGAACATCCGGATAAAGATTGATCCCTTTATCCCTTCCTGGCATCCAACTTCCTTTGGATCCCATCACTGAAATCTTTCACCCCCTCCCAGGACCATCTTCAAGCGTGCTTCAATTCCTGCATTTCTGGGCTTTATTTCTGAGATAAAAACTAGGGGAAAATGTGTTTCCCTGTCCCACTTTTCCCTCCTGACTGGGAGTTTGGAGTCACTGGGATAATGGAAGGAAGAGGATGAGGTGTAATTAGTACAAAACCCCAATTTTATTACAGTTGTTGGTTATTAAATATCTCAGACTCGTTCCCATTGTTCCCACCGTTCCCACCCTTGCATCCCTATCCCTTATCCATCATCCCAATTCTTTATCTTGGTTTGGAGAAGCTGGTGATCTCACTATTCCAAAGGGCTCCTTGCACCCCCCAATCTCTTAAATTCCTATAAATAGCTTAAAAAAACAAAACCAAAAGCCTCCTTTTCTCCCATGAGGAGGTTGGGAAGTGCTCCTGTTGGGCGCTGGAATGCTGGGATGCCCCCAAGGCTGAGGTGGGAGGTGGGATTATCTCCTTTGGGAAGCAGGGAATCAGACCCTGCGGGCAGAGTGCAGGTCGTAGTCACTGTCCGAGGAGTTATCCGGAGGGTTGGAACGCTGGCACGCTGCTTCCAGAGCTGTGGAGGACATGGATGCAGCTCATTGGATGCGCATCCATGGAACAGGAATGGGAAGGAGCTGCTTCCAGCACTCACCTGCGTAAGCAGAGAGCTGGGAGCTCTTTTGGGGGGCCTGAGCATAGTCGTTGTCCCCTCCCTGTCCCCGAGGCCTCGGTGCAGTGCTGGAGCGGTGGAAAGACACTGGAAAAGACAGCGGGGTTGGGATTTTGGGGCTGGAGCAGCATCTTGGAGGGAACAAACCCACCCTGGGGAGGGGCTGAGTAAAAATTGTAAAATTGAGTAAAATTGGTCCCCGCTCCATACCCACGCCTCCTGGATGAGGTATATCCGCAAAGAAGCAAGATCCAGGGCCCTTGTGCCAGGATCCAAGGGGGAACACCTCAAATCCATCCCTAGGAACTCCCAAATCCCGTTCCCAGCTTCTCAGGGAGCTGCTCCTCACCTGTCTGGTTGAGTCCTGTGGGGCCAATCCACTGGCGCTGCTTCTTCTTGGAGACTGAAAGAGAGGGGGAATTGTGTCTCCAAGGATCTTCCCGATGCTTCTTCCAGCTGCTTCCCCCCCACCAGCCCCATATGTCATCCCGAATATTCCCTCCCTTCCCGATAATCTCCTCCCCCCGCCACCCCCCTTCCCCCCCCCAGGATCCTCCACCTGCTCTTTTGCGTCTGCTTGGAGCTTAATCCCTCTTCCTGCTCCCACAATCCATGTGGGACAGGCTTGGGGACAATGGAACAGGCTGAGCAGCCAAATCCCCCCCGCAAGGAGTTTAGGGAAACGTCCATGGAGCTGCCAGTCCTGAGCTGGCACATGGGGATAGTGCAGTGGGAGAAGGAAGAAAAGAAGGATGAGGATCCCAAGGTTGTCCCCTACTTCTCTTCATCAGCTTCCGATAGGCAGGAGGGCCACAGATCAGGGAAAGGAGGAGGAAAAGCAGCAGGGCCAGGCAGATGCTCACGATGGTTCCAGCAGATGTGCCAGTGGGAAGCGGCTTTGAGTCCTGGCCTGGGAAGAGCGTGGATGTCACCAGATGTGCCCAGCTGCAGGTTGGTGCTGGGATGTGAATATCCATTACCCCTCCCACATCGATTTGGTCCCCCCATCCTCCCTGTCCCATAGGTGTGGGAATTCCATCTCCCAACACCCGACGGATCACGTGGCTTACACACGACTCTGGTCCTGGAGCAGCTCCGGATATTCCCACGCTCGGGCTGGCAGAGGTGCAGGGAACCAATCCCACAGGTGACTCCTGTTGAGGGAGGCTCCCGGATTTCCATGCTGGAAGTAAGATTCCCACAGCCCAGCTCCCGGCAGATCTGCTGGCCCCGCTTGTTTCGCTGCACTGCTCCGGAGTCACACAGATCCCACCACTGTCCTGCATGGAATACCTGGATGTCCCCTTCGCACGGAGTGGGGCCAGCTGCCAGCCTCCGCAGGGCCCGCGGCTGGGAATCTGTGGGAGAGAGGAACAGATCCATAGGGAGAGGGATTGGATCCACAGGGAAGGGTCAGACCCATGGGGAGGGGTGAAATCCACAAGGAGAGAGAGCAGATCCATGGGTAAAGGGGGATCAGACCCATGGAAAGACAAAGGTCAGATCCATAGACTGGGATCAGAGCCACAAGGAGAAGGATGTCAGATCCATGGAGATGGGTCAGACCTGTGGAAAGAGCCAGATCCATAGGGAGGGAGGAGCTGGACCCACAGAGGCAGACAGGGATGATATCCACAGGGATATCACTGACACATGCTCCTCCTTCTCCCAGCACCAGCTCCTGACACAGGCATGATCCTGGCATCTCCCCTCATGCCACAGGGACTGAGCGAAACCAGAGCCAGGCATGGAGGAGCTTTGAACTCTTCCCATGGGAAATGCCGCGTGGAAGCCAGCTCTGCCAGCTGCCACAGCCCGTTAAACCCCCAAATCCCATGGGATTCCAAGCTGGGGCAGATGGCAGGACCCATGAGGAGCCTGCTCTGAGCTTCATGGCTTGGCTGTCTGTGCCACTGAGCTGGCACCGAGCTGATTTCCCGGAAAATGTTCACAGAAAAGGACAGGGAGGGGCCTGTGGCTGGGAGATGGTCATGGCAAGGGAAAGATGGTCATGGAAAAGCAGGGAGATGCCTGTGCCAGGGGAGATATTCAGGGAGGTGCCCGGGGCAGGGAGATGGTCAGAGCAGGGAGATGCTCAAGGCACGGAAGTTGCTCAGGGAGCTGCCCTCAGCAGGATGCCCACAGCCTGGTCCCTGCCAGTGTTCCCCACCCCCAGCTGGAATTTCGGATGCTGCCATGGCCACTCTCCCTCCCTGGCTCATCCTCCTCGGAACTGCTGCACTTGGCACTTCCAGGAACTGAGATTTCCTATTTTGCCTTCGCACCCAGAGAGGAAGAGTGGGAGTGGGTGGACGGGGCCCATAGGGCAGGCTGGGATGGGGCTGGTTCCTTGCTCCAGCCCCAAAATCCCGCTGGGGTATCCCACCAGAGCAGGAAATAATGGATGCTCCAGGATGATTCTCACCTGAGCAGGTGATGAAGGCAGGCGTTTTCCCTCGGGAGCTGGTCCTGTTGAAGCAGTCCAGCAGGGAATGGCTCCCACAGGAATCCACTGCCTCCCACTGCACGGGCAGGTGGATCCCTGGATCTGGCTGGTCATGGCTGTTCCCAGCAGTGCCACAGAGCAATTCCTGACAGATGAGGGTGACGAGGTGTGGCTGGATGTGAGGGATGCTCGCCACGGTCCCCCACACCCCCTGCTTGTGCAGCTCCAGGAAGCCAGAGCAGCTGAAATTTCCATCCACCAGCCTCAGCCTGGGGGGTCCTGGAGAGGGATTGGTGATGGAAGAGGAAGTGTTATGGATGGGGATGACATTTTTTTTCCATTATTTAGCAGGAAGTTCCCAAGTTTGAGGCTACAGATTCCTCAGGGTGAGGTGCTTACCTAGGGGCTCCGGGGTGGTGGATGGGGGTGCTGATGTGGATTTGGGAGTGGTTTTCACTGGCTCTGGAATGAGAAGAGAGGGGCCACATGGGCATGGATGATCCCTAGGGATTGAGGTGGCCAGGCTGGGGGTCCAGGCTCACCTCCACAGGCGACAAGGGTGTGCTCCGTGCAGTTTTCCAGCTCCCAGCTGCATCCCAGTCGATTCGGTGTCCTCGTGCACTTACTGGACTGACTCTGTGGCCCTCTCCCACCACGAATGATGAGCTCCAAGGGCTCAGAGGCCACAGGACCACACTCCAGCATCTGGCAGATCCAGTCCAGGTCAGCCACGCTCACGCTGTTCCGGCAAATTTGTCTCCATTGGTTTTCCCAGTTCACCTCCAGTACCCCAGTGCAGCGGCAGCCGCCTCTGGTGAGTCTCAGGTTGGATTCTGCGGGAAAACACCAAGAAAACACCATCATTAGGGGCTTTCCTTCTTTTCCCAGCAGGTTTTCACCCTGGGAAAGATGGAAAACCCCTTGGTGGGGGTCTCAGGAAGCAGCCCAAGGAATGGGAGCATGGAGGGGTCGAGGGAATGTGGAAGCCTGAGCTGGGACCCCGCGATGCCGCTTCCGGGTGATGCAACTCCAGCACCCGCCATGTTCACCGAGCTGTGGAGGCATTCCCAAAGGGCTGCTCCCCAAATTCTCACCTACAGGGATCCAGGAGGCTCCTCCGTGGTCAGGGATGTCTGTGAGAAAGAGCAGAAATGGGGTGTCAATCCTGCATCCAGCCCTGGGGACTCAAAGTTTGGGACAGCAGCTCCACTGCTCAGCCCGTTGAGGGTTATTTTGGGTAAAAGGGGGATTTTGTGGGAAAACTGGGATTTTTGGGGGAGAAAAGTGATTTGCTGCCTCCTCATTCATCTACTGGGGAATCTTTAGGGCTGAGAAAAGACAAGGACCCTGCAAATTACCACGAATTAGCCCTGCTCCTGGGTGGAATGTTCAGGAAGGGTGCCGTGTGAATCAAGGGAAGGGCAGGAGTTGGCAGGGAATGAGGATGGGGGGACACCTGGCTGCCCTCAGCACCATTGGCTCTATCTTGGGACCCTGGGGACCCCGGGGACCCCCAGAGTGAGGTGGGTGGGGGTGTAGGGGGTCACCAGGATGCTTCCCCACCCCAAGCCCCAAACAGTGGCTCACTCAAGGTGCCGATCCCGCCTGGAGCGGGAAAACCCAGGGTGGGTTCTGCCGTGAGATTTGGGCAGTGCGCCGAGGTCAGGGTGCCTGATACTCACCCCACATTCCCAGCAGGAGGCACAGGATGGGCAGCAGGGTTGCCATGGGCTCTGCTGGTGGGATGGGGGCACGGGAGGCTCCGGAGGCTCCGCCACCTCCAGTGCCCGGCCCGGAGCAGGCGAGGGAGGGGGCCCGGGCAGGAACCGGCTGTTTTTCCTCCCTCTGTGGTTTTTTGACGTCACCTCTGGGCCCATTTGAAGACTCCGTTGCCTCTCTGGGTCCCGCCAAGCGCGAGAGGAAAGGGGTGAGAAACTTGTGGGGTTCAGCCCCTGCCAAATCCCAGGGTCTCCACAGCTCTGGGAAAGGGAGGTAGTGAATATATCCAGTGCCAAGGGAGATTTGGAGGTCCCTGAGGCCCCCAGGGTTGCAGAGGAGTTGATGCCCATCATGGCATCCCCTAAAATCCTGTGATAACCTCCAGGAATGGGATGGGGGAGGGTTTTAACCAAGCACATCCCAGGGTCTGGCATTCCAGGGACACCCTTCACTCCTCCAAGGGCACATGGGGCACCAGCTGTGCTGGACTCAGGCAGGGCAGAGGCGTTAATTGATTGTGCCCTAATTAATTGCTCTGAATCCAGGTCAGGCATGCTAATGAGGCAGCTGTTTTCCATTGACTCTGTGGTATTCCTGCTGGAAGCAGAGATGGATGGTGCTTCCCATCCCATCCTGCTCCACCATCCATGGATGCTCCAGTAGCTGGAGTAGGATCTCAGGATCTGGGTGCTCTCTGTAATCGTCACTTGTTCCCATCCCAGTTATCCCAGGGGTCCTGCTGATCCTGGTGGAAACAGGCCCTGTTGGAATATCCCACATGGGGGTTCTGGACCTGCCCCTCACCCACTTTGGCTTTGAAAATTCCCTGGTAAAGGGGTGCTTTTTCCAGGCCCACTCCCACGGGACTCAGTGGAGGGTCTGCAAGCCTCAATCCCCCAAAATCAACCTGAAATTCAGGATTCACCCCAAACATCCCAGGACACTGTGCCTTTAGGAAAGATCCTGTTATCCAGGAGTGTGTGACCCCCTTGGATATGGCATGTCTTGGGTGCAGCCCTTCCCTCAGAGCTGTGACTGGCTCCGGAGGCCATGAGATCTCAGGGAGAAGATTTGGGCTCGGATTGAGCATCTGCCTTGCCTCGGGCGCTGCGAGTCAGCTCAGCATCCTGAGCATGCCGTGGCAGCTCGGGATGATTGGAATCCCTTCCCGGAGGGAGTCTGGGGGGCGCTGGGAAGTGCTGACAACGCTGCCTGCCGTGAGGAGCCTTTTAAAAAGCCGGAGCTGCCTTTGGAGCAAGCAGGAAGGAGTTTGTCGGCTGTCAGCACGCTGCTGGGATCATAATGATGAAGAAAAGGGGGATTTTCGGGGCGGGAGCAGCTCGGATGAACGGCTGCCACTGATGTGGTTGTGTGGGGATGGAGGTGACACCTTGCCTAGGTGGCCATGGGCTGGTACTTTCCAGGGCTTTGTTATCCCTAGGGAATCAGCACCCTCAGGACACTGCTACCCCTCTGGACATTGAGATGCTACCCAGGACATTGATACCCACTGTATTTTGGGGCCCCGCCCAGGGCATCAGGACCTCCCTCAATTAATCGATCCCCCCAGACCTGTCCGTGACACAGTCCCAGCGATTCCAACACCATCACCTCCCTCCCAGCATCCCTGGAGGCAGGAGCGGGGCTGGGGCACCCCCCGTGCCCACCCCGTGCCCGCTCCGCGCTCGGAGCCCTCACCTCGCCCCGTGCCCTTTGTCTGGGTTTTGCTGCTATTTTGGGATTTCCTCCGTTGTTGCGGCTCCTTTGTGTGGGGCCTCTCGCTCGGCAAACAGCTGGAGGATATGGGGGGGCCACATTTTCCACTTGGGGTGCGGATGAACCCCGACCTCCTCCCCGAGGAGACAGAAATCCGACGGCGGGGCCAGGGCTGGAGCAGCTGGCTTGGGATGGGCAGAGGGAAGTGGGGTGATGGAGGGAGGCAGAGGGGTCCTGTTCCCGGGGTGATGGGTGGGTCCTGTGCCCCCCCCCCCCCCCAGCTGGGAGCACCCCCAAATCCCAAAGCTGGGATGGTGCTTGGCTCCATTGGAAACTGCTGCCTGCTGGGATAGGGATGGATTGGGAGATGTTGAAGGGTTTGGGGGCTGTATCTCACCCCCATAGGGCACTATCCAGTGGGTTTGGGGTAGCACCTCAGTGACTTCCTTTTCAGCACGCCTGGAGCCTTCCTGGACAGGATTTATGAACAGCATGTTCCCGGGATGGGGATTGTCCTAGAAGGGTGTAGGGAAGCTCTGGGGGGATTTCCATGTCCCCCCTTCCTGCAGTTTAATTTCCACCCCTGGTGCTATGGAGCTTTATCAGGGCCCTGCCATCCCTTCCCTGCTCCTGTGGGCTGGGAGTGGGATACTTGGCCCTCTTTGTGTCACTTAGTGGACAAGTGGGAGCACTTGGTGGCCCAGCCTCACTGCAGGGCTGGTGACACCACTATGGACAAGGTACACGGTGGGAATTATTTAATTTTATTGGCAGCTCAGAGGAGACAGTTGGAGAATTCTGGAGGAGATGGCCAGAGAATTCCAGGAGATTTGGCCTCTGGAGTGGTGGGACAGGCTCAGTAGGCAGAGCCATGGATGTCGTCGTAGTCGCTGCCCTCGGAAAAGTCGGGATCCTCCACGTGTTCCCCCGAGGGACAGGATGGATCTGACCAGCCTGCAGAAACAGAGCCCATCAGGAGAATTTGGGAATTCCCTGAACTCCCTGTGTCCCCCTCTCCAGCACAGGATTCTCACCAGGATGTGAGGAGGGGTCTCCAGGGGGCTCCGTCTCCTGCACATTCTCGTACCACTCCCCCGAGGAGGTGCTGGAGCTGCCGTCGGGATCAGGATCTGCGGGAGCTGCAGGTACCCAGGGCTGGGAGGGCACTGGGGCGGGCACTGCCGGGGGAGCTGGGGGAGCTGGGAGAGCAGGGTCACTGACTGGAGCTTTCCATCCGTGCTCCCACTCCATGAGGTCCCATTTCCCCACTGAGGTTGAACCCATCCCTGTTCTCATCCTTGGGGTCACTCTATCCCTTCTCCCATCCCTGCTCCTCTCCTTGGGGTCTCTGAACCCCCACTTCCTCCCCATCCTTGCGTTCTCTGCATCCCTTTCTCCCATCCTTGGGATCCCCCCATCCCTGCTCCCACACTTCCCACCTGTGCTGAAGCCATGGCTGCTGGCTGCTGGTTGCCACTGAGTGCCATGGGCAGGGGGGGGAATGCTGCCATTCCAATAGGGCTCCATGGATGAGGATGTGGATGAGCTGGAGGAGCTGCGGAGTGGGGGACCTGGTCTGGCTGGTGCTGTGGGAACAAGGACATCAAATATGGGAACAAGGATATTATTAGAAGAGGGGATGGCCACCCTTCCATCCATGGGATACACCCCCCTTGTGTCATACCATCCTCAGGGAATGACTCCATCCTGTCCTGACTGGGTCTCAGAGGGAGAAAATCTTCCCTGGAGTGCCGGCGCAGGGAGTCTGTGGGAAGGGGAGAGGGGTGGGAACATCCTGGGTGACAGGGATCCCGGGACAGGGTGTCACGGATCCCAGAGGAAGCGGGATGCTCACTGTAGAAGGTGGACAGGGCGATGGGAGGCTTGCTGCTGAACTCATAATATTCCGAGTCGGAATCAGAATCCTTGGAAATGGCTGTGATCAGATAGTCTGGGGGGTGACAAGGGGATGTGGCATCTGTCACCAGCCAGGACCTCTGGCCCCACAGCCCCTGGGGCAACCTGCCAGACCCACCTGATTCTTTGGGAAGGCTGTTGGGAGTCTCCCTGTAGTCATTGGGGATCCCAGAGGGTGCGTTGGGGCTCCGGGAGTTGTAGGTCACCTGGACTGGTGTGGGTATTCCCAAAGAGGACATGGCTGTGGGGACAAAGGAATGCACCCAGTCCATGGCTGAGCTGAGCCCAAAATGCGGATTGTGTCCCAAGCCGGTGTCTGGATTCAGAATTCCTTACCGCTCCTCTTCCTCAGCCTCAGCAGGGCGGTGGAAAAGGCCAGCACGGAGAGCAGGAGCAGCGCCGCCAGCACCAGGCACAGGACAAAGAGGGGACTGTCCTGTGGTGGTGTCCCCAGGGTTGGGGTCTCCTCCTCGGCTGGGGCAGAGAACGGATACAGCTCATCTCACATGAATCTTTCCTCCTGGGAATTTTACTGTGATGCCAGAGAATGGCCGAGAGCTCGGACACTCACCATGCAGGACAGTGACATTCCTGGGCGTCACTTCAGCCATGGTCGTCGGCATCTCCAAACCCTGGGAGCCTGGAAAGAGTGGGAACAGAAATCAGATGCTTGGGAGAGGGCAGGACCCAGGCCATGCCTCAAATCCCATCGGGAAGGATCCGGTACCATTGCAGATGACCCCGGCGGCCCAGGATTGGTAACATGGAGCAGATTTATTGAAGATCCAATGGCACTGTGCCAGCGAGGGCTGCAGGCTCCCGCACAGGTACACCATCTTCCCAGGAAGCGTGTGTCCAAAGGAAGGCCGCTGGAGCGCATCCCCGCATCCCAGTGTCCGGCACAGCACCGTGGCCTCCATCTCATACCAGGTGCTGTTACACACCGTGCTCCACGTGCCACGGAAAAACACCTCCACCCTGCCAGCACATCCATCCCGGCCTCCGGAGAGCCGCCACTCCTGGTGTTCTGCGGGAAGAGTGCAGAGATGAGGATGTGCCATCTGCATCCCCGGCTCTGGAATATTCCAAACCCACCTGAGCAAACCACGCCAGCGTCCTCCTTGTGGTTGCAGTCGTGCTCCAGCTCGGCCGGACATTCCCAGAGGTCCCGCTCGTGTCCCTCGCATCCCACCTCATCCCGGAGGATGGGGCCGTGTCCGCGGCCGAAGGCGGCGTTGCCGTGGGCTCTCACGGCGTGGCCGCACTGGAGTTGGCGGCACACAACGTTGGCGTCGGGAATGTCCCAGCCGTCGTCACACACTGTCCCCCACGTCCCCTCCTGCTCCAGCTCCACCCGGCCCTCACAGCGGCTCCGGCCGCCCGCCAGCCGGAGCCCTCTGGGACCTGGGAGATGCATCGGGAAGGGTGACCTGGCATTGTCCCAGAATCCCAAAAAGTGGGTGTAAGGATGTCCCTCACCCTCCCACACTCACCCGGTGTCACTGAGGTGTTCCCAGTCGGAGTATTGGGAGGTTCTGTCGTTTCTGTGGTGACTGTGAAGAGAAAGAGCAGAGGGATGAGGGCCTGAGCCACCCAGGATTCCCAGTTTGGAGGGGTGCATCCCAAACCCACCAAAATGTGGCCAAGAGGATTCCTGTGAGTAGCACAGTGGGAATCCCCCCGGGCTCTGGCAAAGTGGTCACGGAACTGTTACATCCCGAAAATCAATTCCTGTGTGCCCCAGGATGTTTCTCAGGGCTAAATCCTGGTGTGGGATCGGCTGGGAAAATTTGGCCTTAAATATGGAAATACTGGGACATGACTCAGCTGTGGAAGAGCTGAAATTTGGGATGACATCCTGCATCCATGTCGTTCCTGCCTTCCGGTTCATCCCTGCAGACACAGAGGGGCTGGACCTGCCTGTACCCACCTGCCTACCACCACCACTCCAGAGCCACAGGTGAGTGGATGATGCAGTTATCCCTAAAAATGCCCCATTTGCCTCCTCCAGGGAGAAGGATTCAGCCTCAAAAGTGAGGCATCCAGGGGGCTGCGTGGGTGGGAATCCTGGGAAGAGACACCAGAGCTGATGGGGTGTGGGTTGAAGTTAAAATATTCAAGGAAAAGGCCAGAGATAAGGGGAGAAGGTTCGAATGAGCTGCTTCAGGTGGGGACGGAGATGTGAGAAGGGCGGAAATGGGGTGATGGGGCTGTTTTCTCATTGATTGGAGGCCTCGAAGCGGCTCCTGGCAGACATTTTGGCAGCCAAACCATCCCAAATCCTCCAAGGGTTGGGGGGATATCACGTCCTGAAACCAGCCAGGGGGTACATGAGAGACAGCATGGGCTTCAGGCCCTGAGTGCCACCCCATTCCCAAAGGGATTATAGGTGGGATGGTTCCAAGAGCACCTTTAGGGGCTTAGGGTCCTCTTTTAGGGGTTCCCAGAGTGCTTTTGGGGAGATTCAAGGGGCCTCAATCCTTAGGAGAATCCCCAAACCTTAGGATACCCTTTTAGGAGATCCCTTTCCCCCCATCTCAATGGGTTGAGAGGCAGCATCCTCCACCACCGACACCCCTGTTGGGGACCCCCAGGACCCCCAGTGCTCCCCATCCCAGGGAGATGGCAGGTCCCTGAGCCCCAAATCTGGGGCTCCACCACCCCAAGGTCCCAAGAGAGCGATGGCAAAGACCAGGATGGGGACGGTGACATACCTTGTGCAGACGCCACGGCAGAAAGAGCTACCAGGAGCAGGCAGAGCCGCCCCATCCCGTCAGCGGGGCAGCCCCATGGAATTCAGGGATCTGGGATTCGGGGGGTGCCTCTCTCAGCAGTTTGGGGACATGGCTTGTCCGTGTCCCCACGCTCCAGCAGCTCTGGCAGGGTTGAGTGAAACTGGCTGAGGGCAGGAAGCCGACTCTGCTGCAGGGTGGAGGAGGGTGATGGGGTGCCTCCGTCCTGTCAACAGCGGAGAGGAAACGGGGTTTTGGGGACCCCAGAGACCCTCCAGGGCACAGGGGCCTCGTGGATCTGGTGCTCCCACCCCAGAGGACACAGATCTGGTGGAGCCATCATGCTCTGCTGCTCATTTGTGCCTCCAGGTCGTGGATTTCAGGTGATGGCATGGGGGTACTCAGGGTCTCCCGAGCTGTGTGACAGCTGTAGGGTGATGAAGAGCCAAGAGTTCCCCTCTTCTCCGTGTTTTTTGGACTCAATGTTACCTGCAGCTCCACATCCTGAGCATATTGCAGGACATGCAGGATCACTCCAGGACCCTCCAGGAATATTAGGTGAGGGGTACGGCTGGAATTTCCACAGTGGGAGGTAGGGAATGGCAGGAGATGTTGATCTCCATGGGTGAGGGCTGGGATCCAGGTGGGGACCCAGGATGCTGGGAAGGGGGACAGGACTCCAGTCACCCCAACTCAGCAGAGTTTTGGAAAGTCTGGGGAAGCTGGGAGCAGGGTGATGGCATGGGGGATTTCCTGCTATTACCCAGGGTGACTTGGGATTGCTGGGATTTACTAGGAAGCTAGAAGAATGGGAATCCCTAAATAAAGGGAGGTGCTGAGGGACATTTGGGAATGTCGAGGACCAGCCATGGGGAGAACATGCAGTACCAGGCTGGTGTTGGGGTTGGAAAGGTGGAAGAGGAGCATGGCAGGAGAGGGAGGTAGGAAGTCCCTTCTCCCAAGGTGACCCCAGCTGGGCCACGGCCAGGCCTAGCCCTGGATCCAATCCCGTGACCAGCTCCCACGTGGAGCCAAGGTCAAGGACGTGCCCATTCCCAGGAGCCTGGCACTGCCACGGGGGCAGGGTGGGACTCAGTGTCAGGATCAGAGGAGATGGCACAAGAGGGGAATCACTTTTTTTTTTTTTAAATACTTTATTTTTGTAACAACGTCAGAATTAAAAATTTTCCATAAATACCAGCCCCTGGCAGCCCCTTCCCGGGCGTTCCCGATAAAAAATGTGTACAAAACAGATGCGTGGCCGGGGTGAAGGTGGGGAGGATACAGAATCCTCCCCGGGATCAGACCACAGGAATCATCACCACCATCATCATCACCACTATGAACACCATGTCGCAATGAGACCCAAAGCAGTAAGAGCATCCCAAATTCCTCCCCGGTGCCGCCGGGATCCAGCCCCCGTAAGGAGACGGCTGGGAGACCCCCCCCTCACCCTCTGTGAGCACCTTGGGGTGGTCCCAGGAGGCCACCAGTGGTCCCCGGCACATCCCGCTGGGAAAAGGGGGGTCGGTGTCCCCCCAGCACGGCACAGGGAGGAGGTCGGGCCCTTACTGGTTTGCCCGGGAATTGGGGGGTCCGGGAGTCGCCCCCTCGGGGTCAGGAGCTGCCGCGGATCCTCTCCATGTAGCTCCGGAGCTCCTCGGGATCCCGCAGCCCCATGTCCTCGCACACCCAGCGGATGTCGTCCTCACTGGCCACCAGGATGGACTGGACGTGGGGGGCGGCCTGGGGGGGCTCTTCGGGGACGCGGGGGGGGGCGAAGGTGACAAACTCCACCCGCTTTCTGCGGCCGCCCCCTGGAGCCGATCCCTCCTTGCGGGACAGCGGCGGCGGCGCCCCGGGGGCCGGGGAGCCGGACGGAGCCCCGTCCTCACCGGAGCCCGGGGGGACCCCGCAGCCACAGGAGGGGCCCGAGGATGCCGGGGGTTCCGGCTGCCGGCGATCCAGCTGTGGCCGATCCAGCTGCTGCCGATCCAGCTGCCGGCTCAGCTCTTCCTGGTCGGTGCCCAGCCAGACCCAGTTGTGGGGCTGTGGGGCTGAAGGGGCCCCGCCTGGTTCGGGCAGCTCCTTCTGCTGGTACCGGAGCACGAAGAAGATGCAGTTGACGAGGAAGATGAAGATGGCGAGGCAGAAGACTCCCAGGAGCACGTACATCCCAATTTCCAGGTCAGTCACCCGCTCCGGAGCCTTCACCATCTCCTCCTCCTCTTCTTCCTCCTCTTCCACACCGGCACGGTTGTGTCCATAGCCTTCCTCCTCATCCTCCTCCGAGGAAGACCCCTGGAGCTTGGTGGCCGCTGGCCCCACGCCTGCGAGGGGGTCCCTCCGTCCCACGGTCACTGCTTCCCCGGACATGGCGCCCTCAGCCCGCGGGAAGGGCCGGGAATTCCCAGGAGAGGGGACCCCCACCTCGAGCCAGGCGGTGCCGGTGGCCAGGGCGGCCGCGCGGTGCCGCCCACGCCGGCACGGTTCCGGGGGATGCAGGCTGAGCTGGAGCAGGGCCCCTCGGCCCGGCCCCTCAGCCACCACCCACGGGTGGGCAGCGGGGACCCCAGGGGACCCCCGGACGGTGGCGACGGCGCGGTCGAGGGACGTCACGGTCAAGGCCACGTCGTGCCACCCGTAGAGCTCCAGCGGGGCCAGCGTGCGGTCAGAGAAGGACAACCAGGTGGACAGTGTCGCTTCCTGGAGGGATGACAAGCGGGATGGCAGAGGTTTGGGGGACACCGGGGAGACTAGGGTGACCCCCCACCTGTCTCACCTGCTTGAGGGCCCGTAGTGTGGGTGTCCCCAGGACAGTGGCGGTGACCACGCCAGGATGATCCGGCTGTGTCCGCAGGGATAAGGAGAGCCCAGCCACCACCTGGGCGTGGAGCTCTGTCACCATCACCTTCTCCTCAGAAACCACCAGCGTCTGCTCCCCCAGGATGGAGTCGGAAAGTGGGGAGCGCACCTGGAAGCAGCTTGTGAGTCCCTCAACATTCCTCTTCCAATCCTGAGCCAGCCCCTCAGTTCCCTCCCTCCCTGTATCCTGCCCGGCTCCCACTGGGATCAATTCCAGCCCCCCAGCTCCATCCCTGCAACCTTGCCACCCCCCCAAATTTCCCCAAGATCCCCCAGATTCCCCAAAACCAACCCCCTTTACCTCCACAGAGGTGACACCAGGCTCCCGGCCCACCACCACAGCCCCTTCTTCCAGTGAGGCCACACGGGGGTCCTGGACACGGGTCCGGGCAGCCACCAGGTGGGTGACATCTAGGAGCCACTCAGGGCCAGGCAGGTAGGACAGGTGACGGCCACCATCCAGGGGGTGGGCCACAAAATGTGCTAGGACACGGAGCTCCGTGCGCTGGAACTGGGGCCGGCAACTCCGGGCCCGCCGCTCCGGCTCCTCTGCGAGGTCCTCGGACTCCACCACAGCACTGGGGACAGGGACAGGGTGACAAGAGCCCCAGGATGGGGTTCCCCGGGGTCAGGGGAACAGGGATTGTAGGACAGGGTGACAGGGATTCCACGACAGGGTGATGAGAATCCCAGGACATAGGAGCGTGTTGGGGGCTCACTGATGCATCCCCACACCTCAGGTCTCAACCCCATTCCCATCTCTCCCTTTTCCTACCATCCCATTCTCACCTGTCAGGCCCCCCAGGTAGTCTCCAGCCACGGAGCTGCTCCAGGATGGGATCTCCCAGCTGGACACGGAGTGGGAGCAGCGGAGCCCAGACGGAGAAGCTCAGCTCCGCCCGCAGCCGGCGCACCCAGAAATCCACTCGGGCTCCCCGTGCCCCTCGGCTCTCCTTGCCTCCCACGTACACCAGGTCGCAGGAATCTGACACCTACAAGGGCACATGGAATTCCATGGGAATCTCCCACGGTGAGGCAGGATAACGAAGGGCTAGCAGGACTCACCTGCAGCACCTGCTTGTCAGCAGATTCACATCCAACAGGATCCGTGAGCTCGGACACTCCACCCCCTGCTTCCACAGTCACCAGCTTCACTGGGATAACGCGGGGGATCCCGGTCAGCGGCGCCGTGTTCAGGATCTCCAGCTCCTGGAAGCACAGCGGGATGAGGGGGCGCTTCCCATTGGAGGCGGGGCTGGAATGGGATGGGCACACCTACCTGCACCAGCGGGACAAGGGCACGGATGTCTCGCTCCGACACCTGGATTTCCCAGACCAGTTTGTCCTTCTGCGCCTCGGGATCCTGGCCAGGATACTCCACCTGCCACGTGAGGGGCCGCGCCGGCGCCAGCCCCCCCGTCCCGTTTTCCACCGCCACATCCAGGTGAAGGAACGCAGCCAGCTCAGATACCCTGCGGCACCGCACCGGGATCAGGGTGGAACAACCTGTAATTCCCATCTGGATGTGGGGGTATTGGGATATTCCCTACCTGGAGCTGTCAGGGATGGCAGGGATGTCCCCGAGCCGCCGGCATGTCACCACAGTTGTGGAGTGCTTGGGACCGCGGGAACGCTCCAGGTGCACACTCCAGGTGCTGGGAGTTGTGGGACGGGCAGAGACCACCTGCAGGCCCTTCTTGGCCTTGATCCTGCGGGGACACACGGTGTCACACAGTGTCATTAGCAGTCACACAGTATCAAAAGGTATCACACAGTGTCACACAATGCCCCAAAATATGACACATTGTTACACAGTGTTAAACAGTGTCACACAATGTCATACAATGTCAGGTAGTGTCAGAGCGTGTCCCTCAGTGTCACTCACAATCACACGGTGTCACTCACTGTCACACAGTGTCACACAGTATCAGATCCTATCAGATGGTGTCACAGTGTCACAGTCACACTGTCACACAATGTCGCTCGGTGTAACACTTCAAATGTTGTCACATAGTGCCACATACTGCCACAAATTGCCACACAATGTCACAGACTGTCACAAAGTGTCACTGTCGCAGTGTGTCACTCACAGCCACACACTTTCACATAGTGTCACACAGTGTCCCACACTGCCCCAGTGTCCTCACTGTCCCCGCTCTCACCTCAGGGTCAGGCTGTCGGCGGTGAAGTTGTGGCGCAGGGCGATGGTGGCTGTGAAGTGCTGCCCGGGTCTCAAGGGGACATTGGGGACACGCAGTAGCACCTTCTCGTCCAGCCGCACCTCCTGCCTCCGCTCCGGCTCTCCTGCCCGCAGCTCCAGCATTCCCAGGAACCTGGGAGCCTCCTGCTCCTGACCCGCACACTCCCCCACGCTGTAGTGCAGCTCAGCCGGTTCTGGGCGCTCCAGAGGCTCCAAGGGTTTGGAATCCCGCCGGTGGCTCCGGTGGGAATGGAGGGATCCCAGGGAGAACCAGCGTGGAGGGATCTCCAGCTCCACCACACATACACCCAGTGGGGCCTGCAGGGGAGAGGGGTTCCTGGGATTAGGCTGGCGGGGAGCTGTGGGTCCTCAGGGTACCCAGGGTGGCACTGACCTGCAGGTGACATGTCCCACGGACCACCCGCCCACGGTGGTGAGCATGGAGGGTGACACAGGGGAGATCCCGAGCTCTGGAGTTATCCCATTCCCTTGAAGAATCCCAGTTCCTAGGGTGGTCCTGCTGCTCATGGTGGTCCCAGTCCTTGGGGTGGTCCCAGTTCTTGGGGTGATCGTGGATGCCAGGGTGGTGCCAGTCCTTGAGGTGATCCCAGACTCCATGGTGGTCCTGCTGCTCAGGGTGGTCCTGGTCCTTGGGGTGACCCTGGCCCCCAGAGTGGTCCTGCTCCCTGGGATGATCCCAGTCCCTGGGGTGACCCTGACCCCCAGGGTGGTCCCGGACCTCAGGGTGATCCCAGACCCCAGGGTGGTCCCAGTCCTTGAGATGATCCCGGGTCCTGGCGTGATCTCGCTTCCCAGCCATCCAGTCAGGCCCGTGCAGATGGAAGAGGACACGGGCTGTGGGCTCAGCAGGGGACACAGAGCTCTCCAGGGACACAGCACGGGTGGCCCAAGCTGCTGAGCCGGGGGGGCTCTCCATGGATACCTCCTGTAAGGACATCAGGATGGTGTGGCTGGGACACCCTGGGGTGGCCCAGGGGACACAGGAGTCCCAGTTACCTGGCGGATGCTGAATGGGGTGTAGGTGGCCTGGACCAGGGGCTGGGATCTGGCACGAAGCAGCAGGAATGTCTCGGTGCGGGTGTGCAGGGAAGAGTTGGGAGCCACGTCCTGATCCACCCTCTGCAGCCGGTAGGACTCGGGCACCCCAAGGACCTCCAGCTCCGCCGGCAGGAACACAGGATCTGGGGGCTCCCCGTCACCCTTCACTGCAAGGACAAGGATGTGTCACATCCCGCAGAGACACAGTAGGAATGGGTGCACAGGGGCGGCAAGTGGGAGTCTTTGTGCCCACCTTTGTGGTAGCATGCAGGGTGACCCCTTGCCTGGGCCATTCTGAGGTCACCCCTGCCATGGTTGCCCCATCCCAGGGTTATCCCCTCCCTGCATCAGGACTGAGGAGCCACTCGGTTCCCCCAGTCCCGGCTGTTCCCTGTGGGAATGCATTCCCCACTGAGGAAAAGGTTGAAACCGCGTCCTGTTAGGTGGGATCCAGGCTCACGGTGCCCTGATCAAAGGGATCCCTCATCACAGGGAGCAGATCCCACTTGGATGCCCGGGCAAGGCTTCCTCACGGCCGGGAACTGATCCCACCTGGACGATAAGGTGTGCGGGGAGAGAGGCCAGGCAGATCCCGGAATCCGGGGGGAGTCCCTCGGGCAGTTGGGTTCCCGTGGGGATTGGGAGGAGATTCCCTCCTCGAGATCGCAGCGGATCCCACGTTCCCCGGGTAACCCCCTCGGGAACCCAGGCGGTGGAGGGGACACGGATCCCCGCGGAATGGGGAACGCGGATCCCGGAGAACGAGGAGGAGGAGGAGGGGGTGAGCTCGCCCCGGCTCCTGGGATCCCAGCTGAACGGAGGGACCCCGAACGTGGGGAAAGGGGAGGATCGACCCTTGCGAGACCACGCGGGAGGGGATCCCAGCAGGACGGCGGGAGGGGTGCGGAGCAGGGTCGGTGCCGGTGCCGTTCTCGGTGCCATTCCCGGTGCCAGCTGCCTTTCCCGATGCCATTCCCGGTGCCATTCCCACTTACCCGGAGCGCAGAGCAGGGCGGCGGCCAGCAGCACCAGCCAGGGCGCCGGGGCCATGGCCGGGGGGCTCGGTCCGTCCACCGGTGCCACCGGTGCCGGTGCCGCCGGTGCCTCCCGTCGCTCCGCCGGTGCCTCCCGTCCCTCCGCCCCCGCGTCCAGACAATGGGGCCGGGGCGGGACCGGCACCGGCGCCGCCTCGTCCCGCCGGGTCCTAAAGCCCGGCCGTGCCCGGTGCTCCGGCTCGTGCTCCACAGCCTGAGCCACATCCCATCCCACTGCCCATTCTCAGCCCTGCTTCCCATTCCCTGCCCCGTTCTCCATTCTCATGCTCACCCCATTCCCCACTGTCGTCCCTGCTTTCCATTCTCACCCTCATCCTGCTCCCCATCCCCATCTCTGCTCCTCATCCTCTTCCTCATCCCAATCCCTGTGCCTCATCCCATCCCCACCCAGCACTGGACACCCCAGACCACAAGGAGACTCTCGGAGCAGGGCAGGAGGGTGGGAATTCTACTCCCAGCTGCCAACCATCTCTCCCTGTTCCACCAGCGATACTGGGGACATGGGAAGGACAAGGACATCCATGGCTAGGGGCACAGAGCACGCAGGAAGCACAGAAGGAACAGCTGGAGGGCGGTGGGATCCTGGCATGGATAAAGTACCCTCCTCCTCCTCTTCCTCCTTCTCCCTTCCCAACCCGAATGGACTGGGGGGCTGGCTCTGAGCCTGACCCCGGTCCCATGGGAAAGCACTGGGGCATGGCTGGATAAATCCGTCTTTATTCCAAACCACATTATCAAAACCGTTTAAAAAGCAGCTTAAAACCCAAAATCTGACAGTGGGGGGACCCTAAAACAAGCAGAGGCCCCAGGATGGGGAATAGGATCCCCTCTGCACCCCAAGTCAGCTGAGCTGGGACAACATCCCTGGCGAGCAGGGAATGTATCTTCTCCCACATTTGGGCTTGTGGGTGATTTTGGGGTGAAGGCACTTGTAGCATGTGTGGCAAGGCACAGCCCCCAATTTTGGGGTACTCCCAGAGGGATGGGAGGCTCCCAGGACCCCTGGGAGAACCGGAAAGCAGAGGAAGGGGCAAGGAGGCTCAGCGGAGCAGAGGGACACATGCTTGGGATGACTGGGATAATGGAGCCAAGCTTTGAAGAAGCTTTAGGGGGGCTCAATCCTCCCGGTTCCGGGGCCCCCCGAACTTCTGGCGCCGCCTCAGCTCCTCCACCTTCCACTCCAGGCTCCGGACGGCTGCATCCAGCCGGGTGCTGGGATCTGGGGATGACACCAGGCTGCCCAGGAAGGCATAGAGCACCCACAGGCCCAGCAGCATTCCCGCCTGCACCGTGGGGCTCTCCTGGGAAGCGGCCACGTGCAGGAAGGCACAAAGGAAAAGGAAAAGTTTCAGCCAACGGAGCAGAGGCAGCAGCAGCCGTCGAAGCCGGGATAGCACCCAGGATCCCAGCAGGGCAGCCACTGCCCACAGGAGCACCCTCTGGACTTCTCCAGGAGCCAGTGCTGCTGCTCGGACCAGCCGGTGACCTGGGAATGGGATCTGGGAGTCAGCAGTGGAAGTGGCACCAGGAATGGGGGCTAGAGCCATCCCACGGGGTGAATCCCACTCACCATTGATGTTGGAGGCAGTCAGGAGATCCCCCAGGATCCCACAGAGTGTGGTCAGGGCTGCCGAGATCCCAGAGGAAATGATCCAGAGGGTGGTGGAGAGGCTCTGTGGGGAAGGATGGGGATAAGGAAGTGGTAAAAGAAAGCGTAGACCCCCACGTCCCTTCACAAGGAACTCTAGGAAAGGTTTGGGAATCAGGATCCCACCTCTGCCACCATCCGTAGGAACTGGGGTCCCACCCAGTTTTCCAGGGTGTCCCAAGTGGTTCTTCCCATCCGGAGCAGCAGGTCATCGGAAACGGTGGCATGTCCCTGGAATCCTTCCTGGCCATCCTTGGCTCCATCCCCTGCTGATCCCATGAGGAATGGGATCCACAGCAACAGGGCCAGCAGCGCCCGGTGCCCCATGGCACTCTCCATCCTAGAACCTGGGATCTGTGGGGAAAGGGAGAGGTGGGGGTGCTGGGAGGGGGAAACTCTGCTGGTTTTGGGGTGCACTTGCTGGTTTTGGGCTCCCTCAAGCAGGAGGGGAGGGCGGAGGCCCCACAGCCAAGTTCCATGCCCCCCCTCGGCACAGGCCTGGGTGTCACAGCTATTTTTGGGATAGATGAGCGTCAGCAGGACACAGCCAAGGGCACCGGGCCTGGCTGGGAAGGGGGGGCACCCCTTCTCAAAGGAGGGAGTGGGGTGCTCCGGGATGGGACATAGCCACCACTGCCACCCCTGAGACCGCCCGTGCTCCTCACCCCTCCCCAATCCCCCGTGGGATCTCCCCAGTCCCAGTGTGCCCAGCCCCACCGAGTTCCCGCCATTCCCCTGGAACCCCTGATCCCCCCTGTTCCCGCTTCTCCCTCAGGGCCTTCCACCCTTCACGATCCCCAAAATCCCCCCAGTGTTCCCTGGATCCTCTCAATGCCCAGTGGATCCCCAAATCTCTCTGTGCGCACCCCACCCAGATTTCCGCAGTCTCCAGGATCCCTCTAATGCCCCCAGGATCCCCCCTAGGCCCCTCTGTACCCACCTCTCACTGTCACTCCTCCACCCCTGAGGATCCCTCCCCAGTCACCCCGGGATCCCCCCAGGAACCCCCACCGCAGCTCCCTCACCCCTCCTATCCCCCCTTGGAGCCCCCCGCCGCACATTTTCCCTCCGTTTCGCCCCGGTTTCCCCCCGATTTTCCCCGAATTTTCCCCCATTTTCCCCGAATTCCACCCCCCACAGCGGGGTCCCCCCCCGACCCCCCCTCACCGGGGCTTCCCTCGGCTCCGCCGCGGGGCACGCCGGGAGCTGTAGTCCCTGGGATCACCGCGGGGCATGCCGGGAACGCGGTCACCATGGCAGCACCTGGAGGCGGGCGGGGGCGAGCGGTGCACGCTGGGAAGCCCCGTTCCCGCCGGCGGGGGGAACGCGGGGGATGCCGGGAGCGCTTCCGGTTCCGGCGGCGGCGGCGCCCGCGTGAGCGCTCAGGAGCGGCGCGGGAGCCGCGCGCGCCAACCGGAACCGGAACCGGGACCCCGGACCGGAAAGGAGAACCGGAAACAGCCTCGAAAGGGCAGCGGGGCCGTAACCGGAGCGCCGCGACTGCCCGGCCTCCGTCATGGCGCTCATCTGCTCCAGTGAGTGCGGAGAGAGAGCAGCCGCGGGAGGAGGGGGGCGGGAACGATACCGAATCGGGTTGCGCGGCGGGGACAGCCGGGTTTACCGGGGAATCACTGGGCAGGGGGTTCCCAAAACCCCGTTCCCGTTCCATCCTATCGTTCCCTTTCCCCCGCAGTTTCCAACGAGGTCCCGGAGCACCCCTGTGTGTCGCCGGTGTCCAACCACGTGTACGAGCGGCGGCTGATCGAGAAATACATCGCAGAGAATGGCACCGACCCTGTCAACAACCAGCCCCTGTCCGAGGAGCAGCTTATCGACATCAAAGGTGCCAGGATTGGGAACGGGCACGGAAACGGTTCTCCTGGGAAAAGCGGCTCTGTCGGGGGTGGCGGCTCGGGTCGGGAATGGCGGTGCCCGAGGGGTTTGCTGAGCTGAGGGTGAGATGCCAAACTCAGCTGTGGAGACTGAGAAAGAGACCGGTAAGGAGGGATGGTGAAATGGGAAAGGCCAGGGATGAGAGTGCGAGGATCCATAGGGATATCAAGGACATGGATGATGTGTCCACCTTTCTTCCAGTCGCCCACCCGATCCGCCCCAAACCCCCCTCGGCCACCAGCATCCCAGCCATCCTAAAAGCCCTGCAGGACGAATGGGTGAGTGCCGGGGGGGCTGCCAGGGCTGGGATCCCACCATTCCCTGGCTGACTCCGGTGCTTCCCGGCAGGATGCTGTGATGCTGCACAGCTTCACGCTGCGGCAGCAGCTGCAAACCACGCGCCAGGAGCTGTCCCACGCCCTGTACCAGCACGATGCCGCCTGCAGAGTCATCGCCCGCCTCACCAAGGAGGTCACTGCCGCCAGAGAAGGTGACACAGACACGTGGCATTCCTGGGAAGGGGTGCTGGGAAGTGCTTTATCCCGGTTTTCCTTTCAACTTGTTGTGTTTTTGCAGCTCTGGCCACGCTGAAGCCTCAGGCTGGGCTCATCGTGCCTCAGGCAGTGCCGTCAGCGCAGCCCAATGTGGCCGTGAGTCCCTGCTCCCCATCCCGGCCCTTTTCCTGCTCATTCCCAACCCTTTTCCTTCTTATTGCACCCAAATTCCCCTTCTGCATGTGTTTTCTCTCTGTGCCACACAGGGTGCTGGCGAGGCCATGGATCTGGGAGAGCTGGCAGGAATGACCCCAGAGATCATCCAGAAGGTAAGGGCAGTGTTCCATGTGTTCCGCTCTCCATCTTCCCATCACGGAATTCCCAGTCTGTGCCCACCCTCCTCTTGTTTTCCAGCTCCAAGACAAGGCGACGGTGCTCACCACGGAGCGTAAGAAGGTGAGTGGTCTTATCCAAGGATTTTGAGGGAGCTAGGATGTACTGTGCTCCAACAAAGGCTAATGTTTATCCCTGTTTTTTCCAGAGGGGCAAGACAGTCCCGGAGGAGCTGGTGAAGCCGGAGGAGCTCAGCAAGTACCGGCAGGTGGCCTCGCATGTGGTGAGTGCCGGGATGAAAAAAGACTGGGAAACTCTCACATAGAGTTGAGAATCGCTTCTTGATTCCGTTTGGGAATGTTTTGCTGGTTGTGGCCTTAATTTGGTGTTCTTTTCCCTCACACAGGGGCTGCACAGTGCCAGCATCCCAGGAATTCTTGCTTTGGATCTGTGTCCTTCCGACACCAACAAGATCCTCACTGGTAAGGGAGCTTTCCTGGGGATTTCCCACCTGGGAGTGGGTCTCTTCCTCTGCATTTGGGAATATGAAGGGGGACAGGAAACATAAGGCAGGTGGGTTTGGAGTTGGTTGGCCCCACACTCCTATCCCAGCGGTTTTCCAGGTGGAGCCGACAAAAACGTCATTGTGTTCGACAAGAGCTCGGAGCAGATCCTGGCCACACTCAAGGGCCACACCAAGAAAGTCACCAGCGTCGTCTTCCATCCATCCCAGGTGCGTCTGGCTCCTTTGTCACTTCGAGGATCCCTCAAATCCAAATATCAGGACCCTCCTCTGGTGGAATCTCCTGCTGGGAGCGCTTGGAGAGGTGAATTTTATCCGTATGAACCTTCTGGTGTTGTCCTTATGTAGGAGTTGGTGTTCTCGGCTTCTCCCGACGCCACCATCCGGATCTGGTCTGTTCCCAACGCCTCCTGTGTGCAGGTGGTCCGTGCCCACGAGGGCTCCGTGACCGGGCTCAGCCTCCACGCCACGGGTGATTACCTGCTCAGCTCCTCAGATGACCAGGTGAATCCCTCCCCATCCCACAGATCCCACCTTTGCTTCCCACCCCTTCCATATCCAACACTCTTGCTCTCTCCCAGTACTGGGCTTTCTCGGATATCCAAACAGGCCGTGTCCTCACCAAGGTGACAGATGAGAGCTCTGGATGTGGTAAGCCTTGGAGTTGATTGTCCCCATTCTGGGCATCCCTTGGCTCCTGGAGTTCATGGGAACTCCTTTGGAAGAGTCTTGGTAGCCTTTCCAACCTTCCTGAGTCTTTCCAACCCTTCCAGTCTCATCAGCCTTCTTGAGTCTTTCCAACTCCCCATATCTTCCCAACCCTCTGAGTCTCCCCAACCCTTTTGAGTCTTCCCAACCTTCCAAATCTTCCCAACCCTCTTGGGAGTCTTCTCAGCCCTCTGAGTCTTCCCAAGCGTCTGATTCTCCTGCTGTCTCCTCAGCTCTCACCTGTGCCCAGTTCCATCCGGATGGGCTCATTTTTGGGACAGGAACGATGGATTCCCAAATCAAGATCTGGGATCTGAAGGTAAGGCCTGATGAGAATATGCAGGAGCAGGGATTTGGGGGGACCTGAGCTTTGAGGAATGTTTTTGGAAGTTTCTCCAAAAATCCCAAGATTCCAGCTCTGCTGGTGACACCGTGACCGCGCAGGTCGGTTGGGAACGATGCCACATCCCAGTGCTGTGATTCCCTCTGACCACCTTGTCCCCAGGAACGCACCAACGTGGCCAACTTCCCGGGACACTCTGGCCCCATCACCAGCATCGCCTTTTCCGAGAACGGATACTACCTGGCCACGGCAGCCGATGACTCCTCGGTCAAGCTCTGGGATTTGAGGAAGCTCAAGAACTTCAAGACATTGCAGCTGGATAACAACTTCGAGGTGTGTGATGTCACTTTTCCCTCATGGCCTCTCTGCTCCAGAGGCTGAGACATCTCAAAAAAGCCATTTGGAGGTTTTTCAATGCCTTGTTGTGATTCTTCTCCACAGGTGAAATCCCTGATTTTCGACCAGAGCGGGACCTATCTGGCGCTGGGTGGGACTGATGTTCAGATCTACATCTGCAAGCAGTGGACAGAGATCCTCCACTTCACAGGTGAGGGATTGTCGGAATCATGGAAGTGGCTGGGGTGGGAATGGGACAGATCCATTCGGAATTGTGACCATGAATTGTTTTCCGTCCCCAGAGCACAGTGGTCTGACCACAGGAGTGGCTTTTGGCCACCATGCCAAGTTCATCGCTTCCACAGGCATGGATCGGAGCCTCAAGTTCTACAGCCTGTAGCCCTGGAAGTGGGGCCAGGATTTTTTGGGATTCAGGGTGGGAGGTGGGTGGGAATATCCATGTGGGATTATCCAGGTGGGATTATCAAGCTCCCTTGTTGTAGCTGTTGGCACAAAGGAAGTCGGACATTGCCTTCCCCGTGCTCCATGAATTTATTGTTTAGTTTTTTTCCCAATTTCGTGTGTTTTCCGCCTTTAGATTGTTTTGTGCTTGTAACTGGTTTGACAAAATAACCCCAATCCCGGTACTGATGGAAGTTTGAGACTGGGATGTGTGGAAGGAGGGAGGGAAGGGAGGACTGTGCAGTTTTGTAAGCAGTTACTTAGTTTCAGTATGGAAATAAAGAATTACTCCCTGTCATCCCAGCTGGAAAAGGCTCCTGTGAAGAGCTGGAGTGTAGCAAGGTGGGACTGGGGTGGGCTGTGGCTGCCACTAGCTTGGGAATGGGGATGAGGGACCCTCTTTCCTCCCCTCCCAACGACAAACCACTCTTAGAGCCGTGCTCTGCACTAAGTTTTATTTTTCCAGCTTTCCCAGAGACATCCAACGGCATGCAGGTAGAGGCTGGAGCTGTGAGGAGGAAGAGGGGGAGGAGATAACGTAGAGGGATGAAGAGGTGTTTGGGATTAAGGGGATTTTAGGGAGCAGAAGGCACTCACCCCTCAGCCTCTCTGCTGAGTTCTCCCTCTCTTGGAAGCCTCAGGAAAAACAATGCATCCCTGGGATGTGACTGTCCTCATGCTGTCACCTGTCTTCCTGTCCCTCAGAGACCTCCGCACTCCTGTGGGGAATAGCAGGTTGGCGTGGGAAGAGGGGGGACTTGTAGAGGTCTTCCCAAATCCCTGGAGGTTCCCAGACTCACGTGAGGGCACTCCCAGCTGGCAGGAGGGCCTGCAGGGCTCTGGCTGGGCCAGGTGGCACACGGAAGCACTACAGGAGATGTACACCTGGGAGCCACAGGAATGCCAGCATCACCTGGGGATCCCCAAAAAGCATCCCCAAGCCTGAAGGGACCCCCATAAAGGATCCCCAAGCCTTGAGGAACCCCTCCAAAAGCAGCATGAGCTTCCCAAAAGGAAGAGACTGGGTGCAACCAGAAGTGGGGTCAGTGCTGGGGTGGGTTTGGGGGTGTTGGGATGAGGGATTCCCAACATAGGGATTCAGGGGAATCCCCTTCACCTCCCCCTCCAGCACAGCCATTCCAGGGGGCTCCACAAAGGTGAAGGTGGAGATGACAAAGCGCTGGTAATGACTCGGGAAGGGCAGCTCTGGGGAGGCCGGACCCATTGGAATCAGCCGAGTCTTGTAGTTGTCCCCTTGGAAGGGACACCTGGGCGGGAAACAAGGACACTGTGTCAGCACAGTGACTCCCCCTCACTTCCATCTTCCCATCCTTTTCCACTCACCCCTCCACTAGGATGGGCCACTGGGGCTGGGATGTGGCGTGGGGGCCAGGGGAGGCCCAGCAGTGGTGCAGCACCAGCACCAAATTGGGATCCGTCTTCTGGAGCAGACGGACTTCCACGTAAATGGGGTCCCGGAGCACCCTCACCAGGGGGAAGTCACCCACAGGGTGGTAGGAGCTGTAGGATTCATCTGTGGGAATGTTGGGAGGGGTTGAGTGGGATGGGGAGTGGGATAAGGAGCAGGATAAGGAGCGGGATAGGGAGCACCCACCGGTGGCAATCCGCAGCTGGAGCCCCAGCGGGCCCGGCATGGCCAGGGGTGCAGCTGTGGGGGGCGCAGCCACCTCCACTCCCAAGGGAAGGAGGTCGCTGGAGTTGTAGATGCACCGAGCATGGAGGCTGGGGAAAAGAGGGAGAGAAAGGTGGGAGACTCCCAAATCCTCCATCAGCCCCCTCAGCCCAAGTTGTGGGGACGCCACCAAGGACATGGCAGGAGTGAGGGTTGGTTTGATCCAAGGGGGAATCCAGGCTCTGTGCCTGGATTTTTCCACCCTCTCCCCTTACATGTAGACACTGTCCCGAGTGATGGAGCCACGGGGGGATCCCTGGACATCAATGGTGGAGATCAGGTGGTTCTCATAGATCAGCCTGTCCTCCATCACCTGTGTAGGGAACACTGTAATGGGAAACATCCTGGGGGATACACAGATCAGGATTTGAGGCAGGAGGCAGCGTGTGGGCTAGTTCTTTATCTTGAAGTTTTGGAGGGACTGGGAGCATCCTGGGGGCGCTTCTATCCTGAAGTAACCCCCACCATGCCGACCTGGGGGTTTTCCTGTCCTACCTGGACCGTGGTGCCGCAGTGGGTGACTGGGAAGCGGAACATGACGAAGGCCTCGGACGTGTGGAGGGGCTCACATCCAGCCTGGCTGCTGGCCAGCCGCACGCTGTCCAGGTTGTACGGCGCGGCCACCATTCCCCGTGGGACCACCAGGACAAAGTATCCCTCCAGCAGGCACTGCACGGTGACTGCCATACCACAGAGAGGCTCCATCACCCTGAGTACCGTCTCCCAGCACCAGGGAGGGATTTGGGGATGTGCCACCTCCTATGGTGTCCTACCGGTATTCCCATAATAGCAGGGTGTGGTACGGTCCATGTCGTTGTAGCAGCATCCCGCCTGCAGGCATCCCTCCCGTCCCTCTGGAGCCACGCACGGCATCCGGCCCATTGGCACCTGGCACTGCTCCCGTGTCAGCGGCATTCCTGGAGGGAGGCACAGAGGGGACACAGCATGCAATGTGGGTTGGAAAAGCACCTTGAGGCCGTTTCCCTTCGTCACAGCATCCCTCCACGCCATCTTCCCACCTTACCTGCCCCTGCCGAGGGGTAGAAGAGCGCTGTGGACTCCAGCAGGCTGGGCTGGGAGTGAATCCCAGGATGCAGCAATCCAGGCTGGGGCCGCAGCCCTGGGCGTCCCAGGCCTGGCTGAGGCTGAACCTGGATTCCAGAACTGATGTAACCTGGCCAGGATGAGAGTCCTGGGTGCACCAAAGACGGGCTGGGATGGCCAGGATGGAGCAGCCCAGTTTGGCCATGGAGCCCGGTGTGGGAGTCAGAGTGATGATGACTGGGACGAGATATTCCCAGCTGGTTTGGGGGCTGAGCTCCCGGGCGCAAGAATCCTGTGGGAGTCTGGGCACCAGTGGAGGTCAAGCCAGGCTGGTTGTGGGATACAAGCCCAGGACGAAGCCCTGGTTGGTTTTG